GAATCTCAAATGTTCTCATTCTGCTTTATTTGCTTCATGGATGCATTATCTATACTAACTGCCTGATAATCACACAGTTCTCTGAAAATCAAAGACCTATAAAAATGTTGTTGCCAAGTATTTCTTAATTTTTTTTTTTAATAAATGCCTTGTCATTCTAGTGTGAACACTAGAGGGCAGTCACGTTGCACTGATGGATGTCAAGCCCTGCTAGCATCTTCTGAAAGACCTAATGCATGTGGCAGAATGAAAGGGACTGTGTATGCAGATTTAAAAAAAAAAAAAAACCTCCAAATAATTTTCAGCACTAACTACAGTATTGATGATTAAAATGTAAAAGTGTTGTGCATGCTGGGACTTGGAATTCTCACCTAACACTGCTTAATTTTGTGGTATTTAACAAAGCACATATTTAAGAAATATTGGTAAAGTGGTTTATTTATGTAAGAATTCCACAACCCCCCATGAAATAGCTGCAGTAATGAAAATAAGATAAATGACTACTGCTAAGAGTAAGCCTAAATTGAATGTGCTCTTTGAGGTTCTCCCCTTTCCCCTCACCCCCTCCACACACACATACAATATTTCACAAGTAAAGCTTACCTGTCTGCAAGTTTTGCTCAAAAGACCCAAGTCACCTAGTGTGGTCCAGCAAAAGACCAGCTCTATCCTCCACATCAAAAAATAGACAAATGCCTCAGCTCAGAAGTCTGTGGCTCTGGTAGTCACATTTACACAGTTAACTCCTCTCTAGGGTAAACTTGAGTGTCTCAAGAGATCAGGACCCAGTATTAAATTTTTTACTTAAAATCTTCAAAGTGCCAAAGAACTGGTTCCACAGGGGGAGAGGAGTGTAGGGGTATCAAAAAAAAATCTCAGGAATCTTTAACACACCCCAGAAAGCTCTGTGAAAGAGGCAGAAGGAATCCAGACAGAGTAGTTATAGGGTATGTTGCAATCAGATGGCATGGGTGTGAAGAACAAACTAATATTAGTGGAAAACCAGGCCATCATTTCACCCACTGCGTGGACCTGGAAGCATAAATATCTGCATTTATGTCTATTACCTGGGCCTACTGTGTCCGTGCAAATATCTCTGTGTATCTGTATTTTTCTCAAATTCAAGAAGAGGAGTAACCATGATTATAACAGCTGATTTACATAGTTTATCATATGCCAGGCACCATACCAAAGGCTTTGCATGGACATGTACAAGTCCCTCTTAAATAACTCCATGAGGTAGGTGTGCAGAGGAAAAAACTGAGGGGATGGTGCAGATGGTAAGTGAAGAGGGCTCTATATATTCTGGCTCTGGATCCAGTTAATAGAATGGTTGTAATAAAAATCTATGACCATACAGGCCAGTGTAGTATTACTACCAAAAGATCATGGAATTGAACAGAGATATGAAGAAATAAAACTGTCAAAAAAAAAAAAATTCTAATAACTGATAGATAATGCATTATTGGTTGCAAGTTTTCAAATATGTAAGATATGTTATCACAAAGAATAAAATGATCATGTTTCTATTCAGGAGGATTTAATTCCTAAATCCAACAATAGGGACAACAAAGGAGGTTTACACTATCTAGATCTGTAGAATCTTTCTTTTTGGTCAGGGTGTATTTATCTAAAAGGTTTATGGACCAGTTCTGCAAAAAGTCCTACTGAAGGTTCCCCTAGGCCCTGAAGTTACTCTTGAGCTTGGGGGAGACAAGAAATTGCATTCCTAATCACATTCCAAGCTTACCGAGGAAATTAAAAAAAGGACAGCCCCTCAATGGACAGTGAGCCAGTGAAATGATTTACTGTGAACTAGTTCTTAGTGTCTATCATTGGAGTTTAAATTGACTTTGGAGAAGGAGGTATGGAAAAGCTGAAGATTCCAGCCTTGCCCTCAGGACTTCTTTATCTATCTCAAAAAGCAAACAGTGGATCGTCATATTAATAATAGTACTAATAGCCAACATTTCTTGAGCATATGGGATATCCAGACATTGACCTAAGCACTTCACATGAAATAATTTTCTTTGATTATGCTATTAGGGAGATCCTGTTATCCATAATTTAAAAAGGGAAAACTGAGACACACAAAAACTAAGAAACTTGCCTACTGGCATAAGTAGTTGTAGGGTAAGTGAATGGGTCAGATTCTTATATCACCTACGGCCTGGATTGTGCTAATCCAGGAGGCTCGTGGGAGCATGGGCTTGGGGCTCGCATTCCTGATGATGGTCACCTGGAGCATGGTGCAGGCGTGCGGTAAATGTGCACACCTGAGCCTAGAGGCAGAGGCTATAAGGTCAGTGTTACTTAGAAAATGGCTACAAGAGGAAGAGACAAGTTATGCCAGAGAGATCCCAAAAAGAAAAGCATCGAGATTCACTTGGGGCTGGGAGGCCCTCTGGTTCCCCAGTCCCCAACCCTCCTCCCTACCTAGCCAGCCTGGGGGCTCACCCCATAACTCCTGTAGAAGAGCCATTAAAGCCTGGAAAAGCCCCGGAAGCTCCAGGACTCTCCTTTATCCATCTTCCAGAATCAGTAGAGAACCTGCCCCTTGCCTTGCTACCACAACGCAGTAAATGTCAGGGTCAGGATTTGAACCCAGGATGTCTGAATGGTGGAGCCCATGCTCCAGATAGTTTTTCTTTGCTTTCCCAATCATCAAGGCCTCCTTTTCCAATCACAAAAATGTACCTATTTGTGAAAACATCTTGATGGGCCCATGCATCACAATTTTAGAAAGGCAGAGTTTGAGTAATCCCAAATATATTCATATTTTTAAAAAATTCTTAATGAGAAAGCAATCCCCAAGAGCAATGAAATGGATAATTAGAAAGCAGTGATGGTTTGAACTGCAATTATAGCTGTGATTGAATATGTAAGCCTCTAGCAGAATTAGAAAACCATTTTTTTTCTAAATTTCCCTAAACCGTTTTCCTAATCTTTTGTGGAAACAGCCACCACTCTTTCAGTGCATCCCGTCCCTGGTTCTCCTCATCTCCAAGGACTGGGAGTCTCCCTGAGCCGAGGCCTCATTCGTATGGTGTCCACTGGAAGCTGCAGCTCATTTGTGCTCTTAAACTGAACTGGCCTGCAGCCCCGTGCTGCTGCGTCTGTGGTTGGGTTGTAGTCATTTCCCCATGGATGAGCGCACTGCAGCCTGGACGGGGTGACAGAGTAGCCAGTGTGTGGAGGAAACACAGAGGCTGAGTGAGAGGGTGTGAGCTCCTCACACAGCCTACTTTGTTGCCTCAGCCCAGCAGCGGCACCATGAAACTTGTCTGGTTCAATGTGGCAGTAGTGGGAATGTTCAGGTTTATTTATTTTTAATACGGTTTTTTAGAGGATCTGGATGTTTGAAGGAGATTTCAAATAAAATTTCAGTTATTCCCTGTGTGATATGAATAGTTGAAAACTTGGATTAATTTCCCTGTTGCTCTGACATTTTAGTTACAAAGAAATAAGAAACTAGCAACTGGGCTAGAAATAGAAATCCAGTCACGAGGAATTTCATAACAAGTGCACTGCGGCTGGACCTTGACAGAATTTTTTTTAAGGGCCTACTCAAAAAATTAGTATTTCAAATCCTGACACATTTGCTCACTATGATTACAAACATGATTTACAGATTATTTAACTTCATTAAAATTAGTCTTGAAAAAAAATTAGTCTTGAAAAATCAATGCCAGTGATTATTGAGTATCACTCAAGTAATCAAAGAGCAGTTCTTTAAATGTTACCCAATTCAGACTACACATTAGCTACCAGTTTCTCCACCTCATTCTACCATACAACACACTTACCTGGGAGACCTATGGCTCCTGGCAAACCTTTGGGACCTCTTCCTGGAGGGCCACGATCCCCTCTTTCTCCCATGTCACCTGCATTTCATTAGAGAAAAGTTAATTTTATATTTATGAAAATAATTCCTTTAAGACTTTAAGCAAAGGTCATGAAGCTGCCACAAACTAAGTGGCAAAATCAAGTGAATTATGTGAGTAGATAAGAGAGAAAAAAAATCAAAGGATTGTAGGTATAGACGCCAAAAATACATTTGACAAAAGTAAACTTGCCATCCTGATACAACTTTCAACAACTAGTTAGTATCAGTGGCTACCTCCTTGCCATGATAAAATCTACTATCTCAACTCAAAAGTTAGCATTGTGCTTAATAGAAAATTGGAGAAAATAGGAGAAGCAGTTCCATTAAAGAACACTATAAAGTGTTCTCACTATTAGAAATCATTGGTTTGCAGAGTTAAAATGCTATCCATAGCAAAATAAGTATAATTTAAAATAACAAAGAAGCTATAAATGGCTATAAATAGTCTCTTAGAAGATAATTTGACAATAACTGTCAAAATTACAATGGAAGTTCCATTTTACCCAACAATTCCACTTCAGTCTTAAATATATAACTTATGGACCCTTGCTGATGATGCAACGTGTTAAGGCGCAGCACTGCAAGCTAGTCTCAGCTGCTTCAGTGCAAGCTCAGTCTCAGTCCCAGAGGGGATCCACATGGCGCAGCAGACCCCTCCTGGCCCACCCGCTCCTCCCTGCGGCAGTGTACTTCATTGATCTGTCTGTTCTTCACCCCTCTCTGACTCTGATGAATCCTCTCACCGCCCCTGCACCTCTGGCATGTACCCCAACTCTGTATGCGTAAATAAATAAATCTTAAATATATATATGTATGTATGTATGTATGTGTGTGTGTGTGTGTATATATATATATATAAAACATGTTGTAATATGCAAAAATAAAATACATACCATGTTGTTTGATGCAGCCTTACTGTAACAGCTGAAGATTGGAAACAAGCTAAATGTTGTGTTGTGAAGTGATTGTAAAGAGCTAATGATACTTCCATGGAATAGAATATATGCAGCGAAGAACTAGGGAGCTCTTTGGAATGATCTCCAAGGAACAGTGTTACAGGAAAATGAAAAGCCCAGATCACTTACTAAAGGGTGATATGATTTTTTTTTCATTGTATTTGATTTGATTTTTCTTTATCAAGGTCACATTGGTTTAGAACACTATATGTGATTTCGGAGCACAGCCTCATACCTCCTCAGATGGATGTTACCACATTACCCCCAAGAGAGTTCTTCATCACAGGTCTTTGGCCCTTTCCCCTCAAGAAGCCTCAACTCATCTGTTATACTTATAAGGTTTGTTTCTTGTCAGCTAATGGACAATGTATTTGTTTTTGAAAGCATGTATAGAAATACATATGCATATGGCCTCAGATATCATTACAGGAGGAAACTAACGATAATGATTAGCTAATGGAAAGGATAAAGGAAACCACGCAGATGGGGATACAGAGGTAGGAAAGGAAATTTACTAAATACCATTTTAGACATTTTTAAAGTCTTGAAACAAGTTAAATTTAATATTACCAAAAATAAATTGATGAATTTTCAGAATGTAAAGTATGCTGTCACAGTACTACATTTTCCTCATTATTTATAGGGGATATGCTTTGGATTGTAACCAACCATATGTATTTGCAAGACAGTTGATTGAATTTGGGCATTCAGCAGCAAGAGCGCAGAATTGCATTAATTATCCTGGTCCCTGCAGAGACCAAACCTAGAAATTTGGCCTCATTAACAAAGTTCCCTATGCTTTAGTTAACTGGTCATGAATGACTTCTACTGCTCCTAGAAGAAAGTATCTACTATCTCACTAGGACAGCTTGATATTATTATGCAACTCTACTTTTAGAAGATGCATTGGCATTTTGCAACTAATTTGTACAAAACACTTTTTCCAAAAATCTATATAAGCAGAAGCTCATCCACTATTGAGTTAAATTTGTTAAAATCTACAAAACAAAGATATTGCACAATGAGAACAAAGAAGAAAATATATGAACAACCATCTGGATATTAGTCAAAAAGTAAAAACTCTCCAGTTATTAAGTGAATGTTTAGTTATCATACTTTTATTTTAGATGTGAATGTCTTATATGAATATTTTTGTGATGAATCAACTACATTTTCAAAATAATATAAATTTATATCGATATTGTACAAGGATGCAGAACCCAAATTGAATTACATTCACATAAGTTATGTTTTTTTTTTACACTTGTCATTAATATGAACTTACTATATTGGAAAATATGACATTTTAAAAACTAAAAGCTTGAGCACTCTTGTTAACATAGAAATTTAAATGTCTTATCACTAATTCTGGAGACTGCCAATAAGAAGAAAATCTTTAAATGTGCCATATTTTCTAAAGCTATGAAATGAAGATCATACATTAAAATGCAACTTTCACCCTAATTGTGGCAGTTAAACAAATCCCAGTATCATGCCACATCAACTTTTAAACGTTGCTTGCAAAAGAAATCAAAAGATAAACTATACCATTTATAGCAACATGGATAGAGCAAGGGATTATGCTCAGTGAAGTCAGAAGAAAAAAAATATCAGATGGCTTCACTTATAGAGAGAACATAGGGAAACCATACAAGGTATCAGAAAAAAGAAAGACAAAATGTGCAGGCAAGCTATAACTCAGAGACATTCATCAGGTAGGAGGAAGAAAAGTGATCAAAACGGGAGGAATAGCACAGAGTCCCTGGTAACAGTTCAAGGGTGTCTTGATGGTGGTAATTTTATCAGGATAGCACCTGAAAGGAGAAATCAAACACTGTACAAAAATGGACAGCTGTGTGAATATATATAAATAAAAAGTTGCTTGCAAACGAGTAAGGCCACTGTCTTGGTTCCGATGCAATCTTTTGGTTATTGGTCATAAAAAAAACAAATGTTAGGTGGAATCCAAGATGGTGCCTGGCAGACTGCTGCTCACAGCACACGGTGCACGCAGCTACTTCTGTTTATCACCAGGGTTAACTGACTTCTTCAAAGCCTGATCTTGGCTTTATTTTGTTCCATTATGGCATATTCCTGTCTCTTCATGCTTTGTTTTATGAGTTGAGATAAGGAGCTTTCTTTTTCTCATCTTAGTGAATTGGCTTTATTTTATGGTGACAAGTTGCTAGATATAATCCAACATTTACAGGTTGCTGTATATAATCCAGGATCTATACCCAGGTGACAAGTTGCTAGATATAATCCAACATTTACAGGTTGCTGTATATAATCCAGATCTATAGCCAGGATCGCTCTGCACCTGTTTAGATGACTGACACTCAAGGGGCAGCAGGTGTTTGGAATTAGAAGCAGGGTCATCGGGTTCAAGGGAGGCTGCTGCTGGGAATGAGCAAGGAAGATTCCAAGCCTCCGAAAGGTGCTGCAGGCCAATTCCTCAGTGAAACATCCTGATCATCTCTGGCTTGCATCAACCTCTCAGTTGTGGTTGAGCTCAGATAAGCAGAGTCTTAGCGCTCCTCCCTTCTCCCCCTAACCCCTGTGTTCTCTCCCTTCCCAGGGAGCTCTTCCCTGAGAGCTCCTTGTTCCCACTGTAGAGAGGCCACTGGCCTGGTTCTGAGAACTGGAGAACAAGTAGTATGTGTTTCTCAAGACTTGCCCATGCCTCCTGCAGAAGGTAACCTCCCTTGAAAGCCTCGCTTACTCTTTTCAGTAGTTGTAGCCCTGGAAAGGCTATCCTGTCTCTTTTTCTTTCTTTCTTTTTTTTTTGAGAGTCTAAAAAATAGACTCAGGAATTCAAGTTCCACCTTGGTTAGCTTATTTGTCAGAAAATACATATAAAGACTTCTAAAATAAGTCCTAGTTGAAGTATAAAAGAATATACTCAGTTTGAATAGAAAAACAGCTCAGATAAACAGAATAGCCAAAACTAAAGAAATTCTTCTCTCTTTGTAGTTGCTATTATTTCATTTATTTGAAAGTTAGAATTGATACTCCATGTCCTTGTGAGCTAATTAATGCCCAAAAGGGAGTTAACCACAGTTATGACAAGTATCTTTTCTCAAAACTTCATTTACATATTGGCACATCTGTCTGACTCACACTAGAATATCTTTTAAAAAATGCAAACTTGCTCAAAGGGACTTAAAATTAATCCAAACTGTGACATTTGAATCATTTAAATATAGTATTTATGACACAAGAGACTAAATTAATGCTAAGCAGAATGAACATCAGGCCAATTAGATATTGCTCAAGTGTACAAATAAAATGTGCAAGCAGCAACGACCTTGGTGTGAAGGTGTTTGTGCAATATTGCACAAAATGTTGATGCCAGGTGTACGGTAAGCGAATGGATCGGGCTTTTATGCCACTAGCCTCCGTAGCTTCCACATCTGGTCTTGATGGAGTTAATGCAGAAAGCGCATGCAGAAAGCTTGGATGGCAAGCTCACATGCCTGATTGTGGGCACCTGGAGTGTTGGTGTGGGCATCCATGAGGGTGGTGCTCACACCTGAGCATAGAGGCCTCATGCATACCTGAGACCAGAAGCCAGGGATGTAGAACCGTCAGTGAGCTAGGAGGAGAGCTAGGAGAGGACACCTTACTACAGAGGACACAAGACCCCAAGAGGACAACAGAGAGAGCCTAGAGAAAGCGGGCAGATTTGCAGGGGATTGAGGAGCTCTGTTGTTTCCTGAACTCTAGTGAAGAGGGGCACTCCCAACCCCTCTGCCTCCCTACCTTGCCAGCCTGAAGGCTTGCACAATACCAAACGACGGAATTCTAACATAAGTTTTAAGTATAAAATGAGACAAACTTCTCTTCACTCTTGTTAGAAACATTCCACTATTTTTCAGAGTAATTTTTAAGGAAGAAACAGTGATCTGATTAAAACTTATCTGAAATGATACAAAAGATTCAGTAAAATGTATCTGTTATTTATGTAGCAATTGTTCTGGGAAAAATAAACTCAAGGTGACCACAGGACAGATCAAGACTTGATCCTCCCTTCATGAGGCAGGAGGGAAAAGCAACAGGTGACAGCAAAACATATCTCTTACCCACTTGGGAGCAGGTGTGGAGTTCAATGGTGAAGTGTTTATTCTCAGGAAATTGGGTGCATAGCTGCTGCATATTAAACACTACATGTTTACTATTCAGTTCTATTGCTATTCAGTAGATGTGCAGGGGGAAGAAGTGTGTCGATTAGTAAAATCTGATCACTCCTTTCTGTCCATGCACGAAATTTTAGGAATAAAAGACTGAGTGGAAGATGCTGCTTTGAAGGAAACCAATGACAATTAAAGGATGGGAGATAGTGGGAAAAGGAGGCCCCTCAGCAAAAACAAAATGTCTGTATCACTCCTACATCATAAACTAGGTCACAAATATTAAAGAAAAGTTAAGGGAAGTCCTTTCTATGCTCAAATGATGTTTGATTAATGAACTAAGTGCCAGAGACATTTCTAAGTTCCAAATACTCAAATATATTTTCCTGACTTTCAAAGTAATGTTCATGTCCTCTGCCCACCCACTCAAACTACTAAGAGCTTCCCAGAATGTTTCCCAAACATTGCACTTGAGCGTTGATGGTTCTCAGCCCTGGCTGCACATTAAAATCACCTGGAGAATATTTTAAAATCCCAATGCCCAGATTAATTCAATCAGAATCTCTGGGAATGAAACTCAGATGTGGATGGTTTTTAAAAGGGTCCCTGGTGACTCCAGACACAGTGTAGGCTGAAAAGAGCAGCTTTAGGCCAACTCTCCTAGTATAGCTAGCATGTCACATTGACAGTGTCTTTTCTTAAAGGAGTAAGACAGGACATCAGGAGAGTTCTGTTATGAACCCAAATATGGAGACTTCTTTTAAGCCAAGGAATTGCTGTGCTCTCCATCACCACTCCATCTGTTCCCTTTCCTTCTTAGTAGGAAAACAGGTCACTGCTCTACACTAAGGTATTTAGCTGCCCTAGAATCATCGGAAGTTCGTTAAGCCAGGCTGCTGGGTCCTACCTCCAGAATGTCCGATCCAGTGGGTGTAGCTAGCCTGGGAGTTTGCATTTCTACCTAGGTCCCTGTGGCACTGAGGCTCCCGGGACGACTCTTTCAGAGCCATTGCTCTAGAGAGAACTCGGGAAGGTGAGGAAGCATGGTGGACTGTGAGGGAATGATATTGACCATCTTTCTAAGACAGTGGAGTTTCTCAGAAGTGATTTACAAAGTGAATGGGGACTAACTGTGGACAGAACACCTACAGCATGAGTTCCTGAACTGGTAACTAAAAGCTGGACATACTTGGTTTTTTTCAGCCTCTGACAGCTTTGAGTTTGTGCCAGACTCACAAGAGGTCCCAATTAGGACTCATTTCTTAACATGCAGCTCTGCACAAGCCAAAAAAAAAAAAAAAAAAATCAAATGTAATTAATAAAATTGTTTCAGAGAGCATAGTTAGCCAAATGCATCAGCAATTCATTTATAGACCCAAAAAGGCAGCTTGCTTGCCTCTGACAATTCACACCACACTACTCCTTAATTGAAGTGCACCATTTAAAAAACAATAAACAAAAAAAAAACCTCTTTTTGACCCCATGTCTCTTGGGAGTTTCCCCAGTTTTTCTTCTTGATATAGAAGCTCCTTGCTTATGTAGTCCACTCTGTAAATTATTATAAGGTGAATGGAAATTACCAGATTTTTCTGACCTCCAGCCATAAGCATCTCTGATGGACACCTGGGGTCTTACCCACACACCTGGAGTGCAGTGCAGGTGTGCATAAGTGGGCACACCTGGCCCAGAGGCTTGACCTACAAGGGCGGCATCACAGGTGGGGGGAGAACAGTGGAAGGCTGTACTACGGAATGTAGGGAGAGGGTCAGAGAAGGGCTAAGAGGAGAGAATGAACAGGGACTTGCAGGAGGCCAAAGTTGCTGTCCCCCTGCTGGCTTGGTGCCCCTAACCTGTGGGCTTGATGCCTGGGGTTCCACGGTTCGCTTTCACCAACGATGAACCTACCCAGCCTGGGATGGCTGCAGAACAATTCTCCAGGGCACACACATGCCAAGTTAATATATTTACTCACCCTTAACTAGCAAATGCCATCCAGTCCTTCTGCAAGTACTGCTGAATACTAACACACAACTGTTTTTCTGTGAAATGCTTGAAAGGCTTAACTTGCTTTAACTGAGAGAAAGAAATAATTTCTTTCACACTCTTACATGCTAATATAGGAATAAAGGTAACTGTATTTCATTTCAGAACTGAAAAAATTAAGTTCATCAAAACTGAACAGTGAATATTACTTTTTAACAGAAGAGGAAAGCAGTTCCCACTTATGATGAAATTTTCCTTATCACCTCCTTTGAAATACTGTTAGTGTAACAGATACAAACACTAAATCTGGCTGCCATCTGTGAGCTCCACAATAATTTTAAAGTTAAAAAAATAATAACCAAATGATTCATCATCAGATTCAACTATGATTTACCTATGATTAGAGCAGAATATACCTGAAAAAAAAAACCAAAAAACTGGTAGTAGCTGTCATAGACCTTAATTCTAGTATTTTGCAGGTCTACTACAGCAAAGTCAAGAAAACATTAGATGGGCCTCTCTGGTAGCACAGGGATTAAAGACACTGGCCTACAAGCTATCATCAGCTACTGCAATATGAGTTAGATCCCCGGGCAGGGAGCTGACCCACATGGCACAGCAGACCTCTCCAGTCTCACCCATTCCTCCCCTCTGCAGTGTATTTCAGTAGATATACCTGTTCTGCTCCCCACTCTGTCTCTGGTGAATACTCTCACCCCCACCCATACATACACCTCTGGCCTACACCTCAGTTTTTTGTTCATAAACAAAAATTTTTTTTAAAAGAAAGAAAATATAAGATAACAGTTGTCTAATCATTACCATCACTATTATAAAAGAAAATGACAGGGTATGTGGAAGATATGTGGATACATTGGAAAAGGGGTAGCATGATTCTTAGATCTACCTGGGCAAGATGTCTTACCTTTAGGCCCTTTCAAGCCAAGAGCACCAGGAGGACCTTTAAGGCCTGGGAGGCCACGAAGTCCCATCTGGCCTGGGAAACCATTTTCTCCAGGGGGGCCAGGGGGGCCAGGGGGTCCAGGCCTCCCAGGGAGGCCAGAAGCTCCGGAATCTGGACGCTTGAGACTAGCAGCCATTTCAGCCAGATGCTCTAAAAGATGATAAACCAAACAACCCAGAAAAAGTCAGAAACATGAAAATGATGCAGAGGAAAAAAGAACTCTTACAAGGGCCTTTTTCTAAATGTGTCACCAGAACTTCAAAATTGGTGATGAAAAATGAGGGAAGTTGGATCAATTTCCAGGGGCTTTCTGCCAGGAAGCTTCACTGGTGCTGTTTTGTTCAGCTCTGGATATATTTGGTCCTGCTGTTTTGGGAGAAGGAGAGGAGGGTAAAAAATAATCCTTAAAATACAGGGCTTTGGGGTGGCTGGTATTCTAAAAGCATGAGTATGTCACTTAATCCTAATGGTGATCTGAAAACCCAGGATGAGAGATAAAATGAGTTTCTTAACATTGGAAGAAGTAGACTCCAGAAATTTTTTAAACACCAAGGACACTGTCTAGAATTAGTATTGAGACACCTTTTGAGAACTAGCTTAGCATTTTTAGTCTGGAGATAATAAGTAACTTGAAATATCCTGAGGATTCATGAATTCTTTTAAATTCTCCTTCTGAAAAGTGTTTTCATGATTGGAATAGACAACAGACATTAAAAATAGTCTGTCTTTTAGAAACAGTCACAGTCTGTATTAGAATGAATAACTGTGGACTTTTTCAAAACCATTAAATAGATTACAAATCATCTACTAAAACCATGGAGGACATGAAAAGTTTCCAATTAAAAGCCTTTAAAGAAAATACTCTACTGTGATATATTTTTTTTAAGTTGAAGGGTGTGAAGGAAGAATATAAATTGGAAACACATTTCTAACCAACATTTTAAAACTACTTAAATGCAAAGCATTCTAAGTTTGCTTTATCAAGTAAGAGTTAGCAGAAAAATCACCATTTTCTACACATGAAATATTTAAAATATTCACTCGACATAATATCTGCAATACTGGTTTTCAAATATAAAGGTAATGATTCTATTCTGGAGCACTGCAAGTCTGCTAGAGAGCCAACACTCCCTTGCAGCACACAGAAGAGCACCTCTTCATGACAAAATCGGCTCCAATCTGACTTAGACAATTACTTCTTAGGAAGCCCCAACATTACATGAGATCCTCAGATACAGGTTATTTCTGCATATCTTCATTTTCTGTGTGGTTTCAAAATAAGACCAATTTAGAAATAACTGACAAATAGCAATTGCTATGGTTAAAGATGAAATTAGATGAATGTTAATGAATGTGAAAATACATCTTCATTTGGGTAACACACCAGTTATTGATTCTCTTCGTTAAGTGGTACAGAAGTAGAGATAATGTCCTATGCTTATTATAGACAGTCTGTGAATCATTTCTCTTATTGTCGACTAAGAGAGATTTGGTTGGTACTAAATTTAAAATTGTAAGATGTTAAGGAAAGGAAAGATACCTGAGAATATGTATCCCAAAGTGGAGGGATGTGAGTGTGTGTGTGTGCATGAACACACATACTTCCTTGTAAATTAACCTTGACCCAAAAAAAAATCCAGAAAATTTTTTCTTTGAGCCTATAAAGTTCTTTTATGAACAGCAACAAAATGGACAAAACAGAATTGCTATTAATATTTTTCCGAATTTCCTACTTTAAAAGCATACAATCACTGAAACCATTGTGATATTGATAATAATAATCAATATCAATGATAATTTACCTTGCATGACTCTCATGCAAACCTGCTTGATGTGCTGATCTGTTGGTGCTCGACCCTAGGACAGAAAATATAAAGACTGTTTATACAGGTAACCATAAGATGACTTTGTTAAACGTAAACTGACAGTTGTACGAAGAACCAGGTGGCTGGATTTACAAAAAGAGACTTGGAGCAAGAGCTGTGGACCTGTGTCTGATCTAACCCCGCCCCCAGTGCCCCAAAGGAAACCACTCACCGGAGGACCCTGGATACCAGGCAGGCCTGTGGAGCCCTGTTCACCCTGCACACCTCGAGGTCCAGGTGGTCCTCTGGGTCCTTCCACTCCAGGAAGCCCCCGACTTCCTTCAGGCCCCCTCAAGCCAGGCTCCCCAGGGTTACCCACCTAGATCAAAGTGGAACACTATAAATTGAGGACTAAACATGAGTAACATGTCTTCTGAATAGTAACACAGCACTTACAGGAAGTTCTGGGTCTATTACATTCTATCTCCCTATAGGTGTTCCTTCAGAGATAAGCAATCCCTAAAATGAAGCCACATTAATACCCCATGAGACTCACAACACTTAGAACTCCAGCTCAGGTAAAGTTTTAAAGGTCTTCTTTCTTGACTGCTATTATTTCAAAATATTAGTTGGAATAATATATGTTTAACTATATTCTTCACAATTTACATCACTTCCTAAGAGTAAATTAGTTTCCATTACAGCTTTAACTGTATCTGTCTACAGAAAGGCCAGAGTTCATATCAGATACCTTACTTTGTATAACAACAATACATAAAAAGATTTCCAAGACTATTTAGCTTTTTGAACATTCTTGGGTGAATATGAAGGCACCAGAGGCATACAGGAATTATAAAATACTAATATGAACTAAACCAATATAATTAAAATACCACATTTTAAATACTACATTTAAAGTTAAGGAATTTGAAATACTAGGACAAAAAAAGAATGGGTGAATCCACAATTTAAACAATGAGGAAGTTTAAAAGCTAAATGTTAAGAAATTAAAAATATACTGCTTCCTTAGCACAAAAACATATTCCAGTTAGATCTTTTTTTTTTTCCTGAAGGCAAACCTCTTAAACACATTTTTAAAAACTCCTCATCTACAATAACTGCTCTAACAAGAGGCTAAATTAATTCAATTTTTGTTAAACTACTTATGATGGAATTTGTGGCACAGTAGTTAAAATGTATGGTTGTTTACAGAATAAGAATGAGAAGATAAGAGGACAGGAGGCAACAAGGGAATACTAGAGCTCAGGAAATGAATGTTCACATAGCAATTTAATACGCCTTTTTTTCATATGCAACATTTATCTAGAAAGATCTAACTTTTAAATTGAAAGGGAAAGGTGATAAAACAATGCTTTCACTAAGTACATCTAAATACAGTTTAGTCAGTATTCCGTTTCTCCAAACTCTATGCAAAAAAAAAAAAAAAATATGATATTCATCTAAGTCAACTATCAAAATTGCTCTTTTTAAAATGTATGGCTTAAATGACATCACAAAAGACGACAGGGAGCAGTAAGTTTGTGTTAGGAGAATTAGGGATTTGTCAGGTATTTAGAATGCAAAAGTATGACAATTTCTAAAAAAATAAAGAAGAGAAGCCAAAATGAATTCAGAATGCTCTAAAGAAATGAAGGAAAAGAAGACCAAATATTACTGGCAATGTCTGAAATATTTCTAGGGTAGGGCCATTTTTGATAAAGAAATCAAGGACTGAGTCTTCAGTATAGAATTCCAAATTTTGGTGGTATACTGAAATAGACATTTCATCTACTTATCAATTTTGCCTATGCTAAAATCAATGAGGAAAGTGAAAGTCTTTCTGATAGCAACTATTTCTCTGATTCTGAGAGAGTACACTTCAAATGTGTTAGCTGGGTAGTGTCAGAGAAAACATGATTAGGAAGGGAAGTGATGATATAAGTGACTCATTTGTATTACATCCAAATTTAAGTGAAATTAGCTCATTATGATCACTTCTGTATCAATTCACATTTTTCTTTTGTAGTTTGAATTCCTGTCATTGAACATTGCTAATTATTTATAAATAATGAATCAAAATTTCTATTCCCAAATTCTACCAAGATTTATACTTAAAAATGTATACTTAAAATGTTTCTCGACCCTAAGTCAGTTCTGTATTAGGCACAGAAATTCTTTTTTTTTTTTTTTTAAAGATTTATTCATTTGTGCATACAGAACTGGGGTGCAGGCCAGAGGCGCAGGGGCGGTGAGAGGCTTCACCAGAGACAGAGTGGGGAGCAGAACAGGTAGATCGGCGAAGTACACTGCTGAGGGGAGCAGCGGGCGGTTCAGGAGAGGTCTGCCACGCCATGTGGCTCTCCTCCGGGGCAGGCAGGAATTGAACTCATGCGGAAGCGGCTCTAAACTCTCAGTGCTGTGCTTTAACCAGCTGCGCCACCAAGAAGGGCCAGGCACAGAAATTCTTAAGGTATAAAGCTGTTACTTAAACTAACTAAGGTTACACAATGTAGTCATTTCCATCTCAGTGGTGTGCAAGGAGCTCAGGGCCAGTAAGTGTAGCCAATGCTTCATGAACCATCCTGAAGAAACAGACCCTAAAGATGGGGCTAAAAGCTGCATGAGAAGGTGTTTTACAGAAAGGGGAGAAATGTCTCAGGCTAGAAGAACAGCGCAGGGCACTGAGCAGCATGCCACGTGAAAACACAACAAGCAAGTGCAGTTCCAGACATGTAGATGAGGTTGGCAATCACATCATCGAAAGCTGTGTGTACTTTGCTAAGAATCCAGCTTTCTGCTATAGAGAAAGGTTGTAAGCAGAATAAGTAGTAGACTTTATCTTCTTATGTAGATTTCCTTCTTTGCATGAGGATAATATGTTAATAAGGAATAAAGAGGAATGTGGGAAGACTCCCAAATAGAAGGACTTGGAGATTACTGGGAAGCCAGTAGTAGTAGAATCTGAGATTGAGAACTGAGTTTTGTCCTTTCTGCATATACAATCCTAGGTTTTTTTTAATTATACTAGATGTTCATATTTTTCAAACTGTCAGTCATCCCAGGTTTGCTACTAACTGGTTCTGTAATTTGGAATCTCTTAAGGACATCAGTTCAGTTTCAATAAAATGACACATTAAACAAGGTAATAATTTTCTAGTGCTAGTAATTCTCTACTTTGTGCATTATGTCTATGGTGCACATTATGTCTCTATCACACTTCCCCAACTAGACTACAGAGGAGATTAAGAAAATAAGTGAAATATTTGCAATGGTATAGCTGCCAACAAAATTCAATTATACTCTTGTCACCACAAAGTATTTGTCAGTTCTTTTAAAATGACCCATTTGTGGAGATAATTACCATGTAACACTTACAGAGCCACTTACAATATGGGAAAAAAATTCTGTTAGTGTGGTCCATTCGAAAAGCAGATCCATTTATATTATTGTGAGTTTTTTCCTTTAGGTTAATTCATTGTTTAAAGAATAAATTTAGAAATCCACTCCCTTGAAGTTAAGTTCTTTAAAATTGAATTTTTAATGAATTATTTCATAAAGCAGACAACGCATTCTCTACAGTTTTATTGAAATTCTGATTTCTTATACCATTATTGTTCATTATACTTACAGATCCCTTTGGGCCAGGTAATCCTACATCTCCCTAAATCAATAAAACAAAAATGTATTAGAACAATTATTTACATTTGGTGGTTTTCAAAGAACATTTAAAAGGTTATTTTACAGCTGAAATCTATACAAAATCTATAAATCAAAACCCTCAGACTGTAAAAAAAGTTAGACTCAAAATTGGGATTCTAGTCCCAGCTCTGCAACATAGTGACACTGTGTGAGCTATGTAACCTCACAGACTTTAGCTGGCTTATCTGCTAAATAATAGGGTTGAAGCCAAGCTCTTCAAGATTCCATTAGAATTTTAAATGTTAGACATCAAGAATTTAAATGTGTAAGTCAAAAAATATTAAACTAGTATTCTGCTAAAAAACATAATAGAGTTTAACCAAATGACCTCATTTTGAAACTCTAATATTTTAAAACTCATCCCCTCAAACCAAATATGCATATTATTATGCTTAAAAATATACATCTCCCACCACTAATTATAAATGATTTCTACTTAATTTTTAGCATGTTAGTTCACCTCCACTACAAAACAGAATAATGGGAAACACTTTCTTAGCCAATTAAAATGGACAACTTGAACAAAAAATAAAATTGAAATAACTTTTAAAAATTATACAAAATAACTTTTTTTTGTCTACTTGGGATATTGTATTTACATTAGTTCTATGAAAATCTGACTTAAAAGCATTAGAGAATTTTCCCTGCACTAAAAACTCCCTAAAACTATTTTATGAGAACTATTTTATCACACACACCCCCCCCCACCTTAAAGGACTGAACATAGGTTTTCTCATGAGGTGGTGTAAGACTGCAACAAAGCCACAGCAATGAGCCAGCAGATCTAGCCATTCTGGCAGGAAAGATAGCAGCACCCTTTGGAGATGGAGGCTACCTCCTTGAGGGTTTTAGAGTAAAGAGAATGTCCATGCTCAGACAGGCATGGCAACTCCCTAACTATAAAAATCTTCAATTTTGTTTTCATAATTGAATAATTACATAATTATTATAAGCATAATTCATAGGCCTTCTAGATAACTATGTAAGGATCACTTTGAATTTCTAGAGGTAAAATCACAAGTAAATTCACCCTATGAGAGAACACTTTGATTCCCAAGTATTTAAAGAAGTCACATCTATCAGGTTTGAGGTGTTTCCACTTGATTTTACTTCATCATGACTACAATCTTGTGGACTCTTTTACTAGCTTCTGTAAGAAATATCTCAGCTTTTAAAGAAGGCAGCAAGGATTGATATCAGGGAAAGGAAAAAAAATGCTTTTTTTCTAATACAGTTCAAAATCAGTAGGTTCTACAATTAATAAGAAAAAATATGTCTTACAAATTCACCCCTTTCTCCTATTTCACCTTCTTCACCAGAGGCACCCTAAAAATTAAGATTCAAAGTCACACACACATTTGCGTTCATGGTACCTCGGCTTAATTAATCAAGCATAAGTGCCCACAGCACTCCCAAGATTATGCAGAAAGAAAATATGCTCTCAAAAGGCTTTCCAATGTAGCTGTTGTGAGTGGCTCTATGAATCAGAAGATAGTCTAGAGTAAAGTCAAAGTGCGAAGTTGCATTTCTGCTAAAGTTAAAGACTAGTGATTATCTCCAGAAACTTTACAATTAAGTAATGCTTGGGAAGGGGCTCTTACCATACAAAAAGGAACCCAGGAAAGGACCGACTCTAATTCATGTCTAATTTGAGGTCATAATAAAGAAAAATTTAAAATACTACAATGTAACTGTGGAAGGCTCCTTTGGAAATGAATAAACCATTCATGAACAAGAGAGAAGGCCATTCTTCCAAAGGAAGGACAGTGAGGAGTCTGCAGGTCATCATCATCTCCTGCCTATGAAAGCGGTAGCTAAGTCCACAGACTTGCTAAACTCTAGATTTCATTTACTTTGAAGCATACTGAGAAAAACTACTACCCTTCACCCCATAAATCTGTACACCCCCTATTGGTAAAGCACATTGATACCTACTGAGCAGTGCATTTCAAATATTCAAGTGTTAGCACCTACCTGTTCACCCTTTGGGCCAGGTTCACCAACTACACCCTGTAAACAATAAAATATAAACTTTTTTCAGCATTTTGGGATTTTTAGCTATGTAATTTCAAATGATCCTTAGATTGAGCTGGTGGATAAGCACAATTATAAGTAATGTGATAAAAGAGAACTACCCTCTCTTCTCACCAACTATCAAGAGTTATGTACGATCTAGAGAAACAGACAATTGTCCACAAATTGCTGGCATCTTGGGAAATTCTTTGATCATGTCTATGTAAAATCTGATCAGTAGGAATATAAATTGAGAACTAAACAGGAAGTGTACCACAACTGAAATTTTTACTTCTCTCAGGTTCTTTTCCCTTTTGATAATTTGTTATATCAACAAGGTTTTGCTTCTTAATCTCAACTTTTGCTTACTTTACATTTTTTCTTGATAGCTCTTTAGGATAACTGTAAAGAGCCTCTCCACTGAGTGAAAAACAAGCTTGGTTTCTCAGCACAGTAGAAATCACCCTTCCAAATAAGGAGCTTTCGGGGGACTTGCTATCTTACCCGGTCACCTCTCATTCCAGGGAGTCCAGGAGGCCCAGGCAAACCAGGGAGGCCAGGGCTACCAACAGAACCCTGAAAAACAGACACAACCCCCCCAGAATCATGGTCACTGCAATCCTGGAAGCATGCAACCCAGACACGACATTGGCTCTGTTCTTTACTGTCTAAAATAAATCTGTGGTTGGTTAAATGCTATTCCTCAAATTCACATGTCTCCCAAACTCCCTGGAGAAGAGAGACAAGTGGCCCTTCTCCACTCACCTCTGAAGTCCTTGATTCCTAGGCCTGTTCTCCGAACAGGAGACTCTTTCACTGGCCCTTGCAATGGCAATGTTTCTCTTGCTAGGTAAACAAGCACTGCTCAGTAAAAGGCCCCATTCATACACAGTCCTCTTGAATTCCAAGAACAACCAGAGGTAAAATGTAACACTCAGATCTCTCTCAGCTCTAATATATAATGCTACAAGCCACACTCATTAAAATACTCTCTGAGGGTATCCTAGATATAATTGAATTTCCACATTTATATTTGCACACATTCATATAACAATAGAAATAAATAATGGTTAAATTACCCTTTGTAAATTGCTTTTCTTTGCTTACTTTAAAAATTGCATTGTGTTTTGTATGAAGCAAATAAACTTACCAGTTTACCTGGTAAGCCTGGGGGTCCAATGGGTCCTGTTTCTCCTCTACGGCCCTGGAAAACACAGACATAATTGTCAACTGGATATATTACCAACAGTCAGAAGCTTAATTACCATGTCAGTTAAAAAATTCAGCCTAGATTTTTGTTTACATATATCAGCAAAATATTCTCCCCATCTTCAAATGAAAACAGAGACCTTCACACAAAATGCCTACAACCTCCTCAGTGTTCATCCTTCAGTGTATGTTCTAATTCTGTTCATAGTGATTGCAGACCACTAGAAAGAAATGGTATGGAATTCACTTACATGGAATGACAATCACTTTCAGCATCTAAATGACAGTCTAACCTATGTTATGTTTATTTGTGTACATTATTCTGAGACTGTATGTTCCTCACAATGCCTACAATGTGAAGTCAACTTTTGTATTTATATTACATTGTAAAGAAATATCTGGCAAATGATCTTGAAACTTCGAAGAGTAAAGAAAAAAAAAGACAGAGGACATAGATGTTTGCTAAAATTACTGCTACACCTTCAAAAGGACATAGAGAGTAAAAATGTCTAGTTACTGAAACAAATTATTTGTTCTACTCATTCTTGTCCTAAACATTTCTTAAAAATATAACTTTAGTGGCCCTCCCTGGTGGCGCAGCGGGTTAAAGCACTGCACAAAGAAGCTTAAGCCACTTCCGCATGAGTTCGATTCCCGCCTGCCCCCGGAGGAGACCACATGGCGTGGCAGACCTCTCCTGGCCCGCCCGCTGCTCCCCTCAGCAGTGTGCTTCGTCGATCTGCCTGTTCTGCACCCCACTCTGTCTCTGGTGAATCCTCTCACCCTCCGCATCTCTGGCCTGTACCCCAGTTCTGTATGAATAAATAAATAAATCTTAAAAAAATATATATAACTTTAGAAAGTACAATTTATAATGAAGATATACCAAATGTAACACTAATTTTATTTTGTCACCAATTTCAACTTTTTATTTGAAAGTCTGAGCCCCTTGAGAAAGCAGAACATATGAATTATTCAAATTCTTTCCCCAAAGAACTTTATAGAGTCTTATGCAATTGGTATGTTTTATTTCTAATGCCTGTTAAACTAAGCCCAATACTTAGACTACTAAATAATCACATTTTCTGAACAGCATATACGATAATAAAAAGAGCTCTTGGTTACCCTTCTCGAAAATATGACTTCATATTAATGTTTACCATTTGTAAATGCTCTGATGAGCTATACTGTTCTCACTCACATGATATTCAAGTATCTACAAGTTGAACAAGGTGTTAAGACCCATAACCTTCTTTATAATTTCTCTAAAGATATAGAAATGTTTGTCAAATTACAAGTCTCTGGCTATGAGCTATTATTTTAATGGCAGTCATTTCATATGATTTAGAAGTGATTTTTAAATATACTTTTAAGCATTTAGATGAACATTATCTGTTCTGTATGTGAATTGGGTATGCTAGATGTGTCTGTAACCCTGTGAGCAGCTGAGAACCAAAGACAGTACCTTAAGCATGGATACCAGGAGGATATAAATCTAAATGAAAACCAGCTACTGTGATAGAAATACAAAAATTGGGCTGTACCCCAGTAATCTGTTTTTATCAGATGACACACAGCAGAGCCAGGCTTCACACCTGGCAGTGGGCTGAGCATCTCCACTTTCTACATCATTTCCACTCTCTACAGCACAAATCAATTTGATATAAACTTGCTAATTCTAATGGTACAGAACACATTTAGAAAATTTTAAATTTAGTGTTTATGGAACTCTCGTCATAAGTATTTAGTGAAACTTCTAAGCAAAGCCAATAAAGAAGCAGACCTACAAAATCAGAATTTGAGAGAGAGGGGTGGGATAAGGAGAGGGTGGGGAGATGGAGAGGTGGAAGATGACTGGTGAAATAAGTTTCTAACAGTCCTCTGGAGATATTGATGCACACCCAGAGTTGAGAATCACTGAGAGAGGGTCTGCAGGTTATATTTTAAAGCTTCATTTGGCTCCTTAAAATCTGGATTGAACATGGGTGATTTGGTGATGGGAAACCCAAGGGGATTGCAACTGAGATGGAAAAATGTACAAAAATATGTTAAAATAAACTAATATAATAAAATCTTGTCCTCATGCCCTGTGTATAGCTGTTTGGTCACTGTTGGGAACATAAACATTATTTTTATCCACAGTGAGGTGATTTCTGTAGAAATACCAAAGGATGATGGCTGAGAAAGTGAAATAAAGATGAGGAAACACATGTTTTCTATTTTTGTAATAACAGAAGTAAATGCCCATCCTAAGTTCACTGGCCCTTGCCCAGTCTTACTTGTGGGGCTCTCATGGCACTTTGGTTGGGCAGAGCAGGCAGTTAATACTCGGGTTTAAGCCCTCATAACCAGGGTCCTGCCAGTGTTTGGAAAATACTGATTAAATAAATCGTAAGAGTTCATGAAAGATAGAGAATGTAAGACAGAGAATGGCAGAAGAGAAAGTCTTTGTTTTTGTCTGGAAAGATAAATAATTTCTCCAAAGAACAAATGGCAGTTTATATAATCTTCTGTTTTAATTTAACCCTTTATTTTGTGGAGAAGGGAAAATACACTAATCATTTTTAATTTGGTAAGAGGACATAGCATTTGTTTATTTAGAAGTGAATACTTGAGGCTGTATGAAGAACTGAATTTTCTTTTATTGAGATGGTTATTTTCCCCACCTACAAGAATTAATTGTTCTTCAGATGTTAGTCCAATGACATTTAAGATCACAGCATGAGGCACTTCAAAAATTATTTGAAAATGCCAAAAGAGCAGATGTACTGACAAAAGCTGTCTTGAACTTAGAGCTCATTTATAAAATGAGGATAAAAACAATACTTATTACATAGGGTTGTAAGTATTGAATAAGTTACATGAAGCACTTAGCAGAGTCTCGCTTGTAATGAGCACCAACATATGTGTTAAGTATTATTTGTATCCAAGGACAAAAGAAATCAGTCACAATTATACCTTTTAATAAAGCAAGCTAAATGTTCTCTTTCTCTCACATCTTCTAAATGTCTTTAAAATCACAAATTGTGTTTGGAAAAAAATAAGTCTCTAGTCCTCATTTCTCAAGTTCTGTCAACGCCCTTGATCATATGAAAAAGACATCTTCTTTATGAGTAAATGCTAGGATCCACTCTGTAAAATTCATTTCAATAATGCAGATAAATAATACAATTTAGATATCACTCTGTTAAAGTAGAACTACTAGACTTTTTAAAATAAAATCATGGAAAATATTTACTTTATTATGCTTTACTTTATTATTTTTGGCATAATTATTTTACCCCAAAATGGACTATACTCTACTCACTATACTCTAGATTTGAACAGTTGTTATAGTTACCTAATTAAACAAAATGGTCTCTAACTGAAGAAAAAACAGTATCTTTAGTACTTTGCCAATTTTAGAAGGGGAAAATTTTAAATCACTATGTTTAGTCTCTATTAAGTATTAAATATCTCTCACTAGCAAAATGGGTACTGATTAACCCATAAAATCCTATAGTTTGTTGCTTTTTCAAATCTATTTTCAAATTAGTATTGGAAGATATTAATCATACAACAATGGTAACTTTTAGTTTGCCGAAGATTTATTTAAATCTATTCAATTTTATCACATAAAATTTAGCATGACATAATGTGTATTTTTCTCTAGTACTAAGTTAAATATTCCTCACACAGAGTAGCAAATCAGAATCATCTAAACTAAACTAGCAGAGCAGCTTCACGAATTATTGACCGGTTTACATTCCAGGGCCTGGTTGGGACAATTTAGATTATTCAGCAACACACCATAGAGGGTCTTTGTGCTGGAGTCTGTTGACCACAGGCTAGGTAGGGTTGGAAGTCAAGACAATGCGACACAATTCTGTACTCCAGAATTGCATAATCTTCAGAAAACTGAGGTATTTCAACATGGCATACATATCAGTCAGAATAAGAAAGAGCAAATACAATCCATATAACAAAGACACTGGAAAGTTCTGAGAAGCCGAGAAGAAAGAATTAAGCAGGAGCCCCAACATGGTAAGATCAAATAAGAGGCCTTGTCACTGTGTACTCTAAACCAGAAGGCACCCAGACTCGGTTATAAACCAACTGGAGCAAGATAGAGAAAGCCAGAAACAATGGCCAAGTGGAGGATATATACAATTTGATAAGCAAGCACTTGAGATACTGAAAACACCAATATTATATTTCTGTGGTATTGAGCAGATAGGAAAAGTACCCACAGATTTTTGCCAGCAGTAACCCCAACCAACGTCAGACTAACAGAGCTCAGCAGAATCCGAAGCAGTCAAAAGCCAGAACCTCATGAAGAACAAGATAGAAAGCAGCCTGAAGAAGCACCCCTCAGGTTTGAGAACCCCACCTCTGTAGGAGGCTGTTTTTCCCTGTCTAATAATTCGGACTTCTTTCACCCTACCCTGGGTCCTGCCATACCTAGCTGACAATTGTGGCAACATGCTCCATTCTTCTGAAGAGGAGTTTCCAAGAGTTTGCTCAGGCAGGTTTGTTTGACAGTCGATTTCAGTACTGGCAAAAGTTGATGAAACCATGGTGGAGGAAGGGAGATATCACTTAATTTCAATGGTGTGCTCCCTTTGCCCTGGTCCACTAGCAGGTGATAATAGGTATATGTTTTCATACCTTCCACTCAGCTTCTCAGTTTGACATTTGCAGGAAAAACTGGTCAAACTTGTGAGAAATAGTTGAAAAGTGTGAATTTACCTCTGAAACTAAACCTCATGATGTAAAATGAAAGAACAAAGGTATCTTGGGAGTAGATTTGGTGTTAAAACTCTGCCCCAAAATTATGATACTCATAAATTCTTATGATACTTTTCTGAAAATTTCAGAGTTGATAAGAAGTCAGTTATTACCAATATGAGCAGAAATCAAATATAACAGCAATTCATTTCAAGAGATGTACTTATTAGGCGCCACCTAATAGCAAACTCTAAGAAAGAAGTGTAGGGCCATGAGGTGGGCCAGGTGTCCCTGTCTTCCTCTAGTTTCACAGCCTGGAACAAAAAAGGTGCCAAAGGTTATGGAATTCAGATTAAGGAGAGATCAAGTTACTAAGGGATCATGCATATCATAAATGGTTTTGTTGTATATTCACATTTCAACTATGTGTAAGAGGACACTAGTATGTCAAAAAATGTAGAACCCCATCTGAATGCAGGGCATCACAAAAGAAAAGAGGCAGACAAAAAGTGGAGAGAGTACTTGGTAATAGCACAAAGTCCGGCTTGACTACAACCAATTTCCAAACAAGGCAGATTTGAGAAATAAAGAGATGATCAGATAGATAGTTTAGATTTTAGACATTCTAGTGGAGATTCATTAAAGACATTTAATGATGAAGAAAAATGGGATGACCAATAGGATGGCGTGGGCAGATTGTGGGCACTACCACTCCCCAGGAAAGTATGTGAATGCTTGCCATTTTTGTTTCTGTCACAATGACTGTGGAGACAGTCTAGGTGGAGGGCAAAGATGCAAGAGACCCTGCAATGTGCAAGAACCTGGAGAACAAAAATCTTCCCTATTTCCAAGGAAATAGCATCTGGTGCTGGGAAAGAAAATCAGGAAATGCAGGGCCCTCCCTGGTGGCGCAACGGGATAAAGCACAGCACTAAGAAGCTAAAGCCACCTCAGCATGAGTTTGATTTCAGCCAGCCCCGGAGGAGCTCCACAAGGCGAGGCAGACCTCTCCTGACACGCCTGCTGCTCCCCTCAGCAGTGAACTTCATCGATCTGCTTGTTCTGCTCCCTGCTCTGTGTGTGGTGAATCTTCTCACCGTCCCTGCACCTCTGGCCTGTACCCCAGTTCTGTATGCAGAATAAATAAGTCTTTAAAAAAAGAAAGAAAGAAAAGAAAATCAGGAAATGACTGCAATAGTCCTGAAGCAGCAGACAGTGATCAGAGCTTGTGTGGTGGATGAGGGTATAGAAAAGAGTCAAACAGGCCTCCCTGGTGGCCTAGAAGTTAAGTCTCAGCACTATCTCCGCCAAGAGTTCAATCCCCAACCAAGGAACTGACCCACATGGCACAGCAAACTTCTCCGGTCTCACCAGCTGCTCCTCTTCGCAGTGTGTTTCAATAGATCTGCCTGTTCTTCTCCCCACTCTGTCTCTGGTAAATCCTCTCATCCTTGCAACTTCTGACCTACACCACTTTTTCCATGCTAAATAAATAAATAAATGAAAGAAATAAAATAGTCAAACACAAGAGAGTTGGAAAAATTGTGGTAGAGTCAACAGGTCAGAATGTAGATAGGTAAAGTGAAGGAAGAAGACCAGGCATTGACACTCAGTGACAGGAACAATGAGAAGAATCTGGAGTCTTACAAAAATTCAAAAATCAAAATCTGAATCAGGCTCAGAAAGCTGCATAGATATAACTTCCCCTGATCTGCCCACACTCACATGAGAAAAATCAAATACAACACACCAACCCCCCCCTCAACACACACATACACAGTCTCCTGCTATTGTTCTGTCTCTAGTTCATTCCTTTAGACATCTTCATGACTTCCTGGTGATGGGCCAAGTCCTCTCTACCTGTGTTAAAGCTTTGTGTTTAGTGCATAGTCCAGCATTCAACTCCTTCCATTGTACCCAGTTTTCTGCTCTATAAAATGAATACTGAAAGAAACTGTCAACAATCTCAAAATCTAGTGTCCCTCTCCCACACTGTTCAATCCTTCTGGACTAATCACATCAGCAAAATCATTGAAATATGAGCTAGCTACATCCTCATGGCTTTGACAGTCAATCTAGGGCAAGTATTTAATACTTAATAAGGAAAATACTTAATTTCTTCTTTAGTAAGAAATTCACAGGCTTCAAGTAACAAAAAAGAGATACTGAGGAGTGAGTGAGGAAGGACATAAGAGGAGCAGAAGCTAGCTTCTTTGTTTACAGAGAAACTTCAGGATACCACCTCGGAAAGGTCAGTTGACAAACATCTGTAAGAAGTAAAAAACTCCACTCTCATGTCATAAAATACATGGAATGTTTCACTTTCCCATGCTCAAGAAATGCTTTAGAAGAAGTGACCATGCTATTTGGAAATGTTTCTGTGTTCTCACTAGGAATTCTTTTTACCCAGTAGACTTTGAAAATAAAAACTTAAACTCAAGGCAAGAGGAAGTATTTTTAAGTTAAATTTAAGTGCATGATGTTCAATTTCCCAGTTTCTCTCTGAGGGTTAAAACTATCTACTGAGAAAATAGGTATCGCTATGTTTACAGACTCACACTAAAAGATGTCTGGCAGCTTCTCAAAAGGTTAAACAGAGTTATCTTATCACCAAGCAATTCCACTCTTATGCACATACTCAAGAGAAATTAGATTATATGTCCACATAAAAGCTTGTGAAAGAATGTTCATAGCAGATTATTCATAAAGCCAAAAGATGAAAAAAACACAAATAAATGTTCATCAACTAATCAATGTATGAAAATAATGTGATATGCCCATATAATTGAATATTATTCAATAATAAAATACTGATACATGGTACAACATACATGAGCCACAAAACAATATTCTAGTTGAGAAAAGACAATCATAAAATAAAGCCACGCATCCGCTGAGATGAAATTTCCAGAACAGGCTTATCTATATAGAGAGCTATATAGAGAGAAATGGATTGTGGTTGCCTAGGGCCCCGGGCGGGCTGGGGGACATGTTGAATGCAATGTTTATGGCTTTCTTTTTTTTGGAGTGATGAAAATGTTCTACGAATACACCAAAGATTAATAAACTGTACAAATTAAATGAGAAAAATATATAGTACATGAGTTCTAGCTCTTCAAATTTTATTTTGCTCTGGGAAAATATTTCCTTCAAAATAAAATTACAACAGAAAAGATCATCAGACTTTTAAAAAATATTTTTACTTCCACTTTATGATAAGAAAAACATATGAAATATTTATCATTCTCCATTTCACTGTCATTAAGGAGCAGCATATGTTCAAACATCAAAAGTTGTTTGTGCATGATATAAAGAGTGGAGGGAAGCCCAGAAAAGTCCTAAAAAGCCACACTGGGAAAGTTGCACACACAAGAAAAGGAATACTCACGGGAAGCCCACGGGGTCCTCGGGGTCCCACCTCTCCTGGAGGCCCCTGCTGTCCCTGTTATAAACAAGCCACATGAAGAAAAAGCTAAGACTCCTCATCAATAATGGTTTTTTTAGTGAATATACAACAGGTAGCTATGGAAAGGTAAAATGGCACCTTACCGGCTTGCCTGAATTCCCTAGTTGACCAGGCTTTCCGGGAGCACCTGTGTTTCCCTAAAGGGAAAAAGACAACATGCAAAGCAATTGTCAAACCCTCTTGTCCACAGTGGGTATTTCCACATTTGAATGACACTAATTTCACACATTCACATGAGAATTGGGGAAGATGCAGAATTTCATTCTTAGTGGATACAGCAAAGTCCTTTAATTTTAAGGCACTATTTTAATAGTCACAGAATCTAGTAAAGGTGGCAAAAAATGCAGACAAAGAACATGAGAGGATTTTTCTTTGTTCACAATGTTAATTATGTCTTTCCTTTACCATTTTCATCTTTGATACACCTCTCTGAACCCTTTTACCAAACATCAACACTGTTAAAACTATAAGGAATCATGTCAACGTTAAGAAATAAGAGGACACACTGCTGAGGAAAACCTGCAAGTCAGCTCCAGGGGAGGCACTGCTAAGCAGCCCCGGCCCTCATCAGTCTCTCAGGGTCCACTTATTAGGGGACGTCTCTGCCCAAGACACTGTGGACACGTGAGTGCTGGGCTGTAGTCTACTAACCTAAGTGGGGCCAATTTCCCATTTTAACTATTGCAAGTGAAGCTATAACTCACTTCCTTACTCTTTTCACTCACCTACTGTTATTAATTGATAAGAAATAAGGACTGTTGGGCCCTCCCTGGTGGCGCAGCGGGTTAAAGCACAGCACTGAGAATCTAAAGTCGCTTCCACATGAGTTGGATTCCCGCCTGCCCCGGAGGTGACCACATGGTGTGGCAGACTTCTCCTGACCCACCCGCTGCTCCCCTCAGCAGTGTACTTCATCCATCTGCCTGTTCTGTTCCCCACTCTGTCTCTGGTGAAGCCTCTCACCGCCCCTGGCCTGTACCCCAGTTCTGTATGCACAAATAAATAAATCTTTAAAAAAAAAAAAAAAAGAAATAAGGACTGTTTATTTAGCATGTGAACAACATGGCTTTTTTTTTTTTTTTTTAGTTAGTTAAGCTTAGTCACTTAACATTCACTGACATAATTTCTATGTAATAAAAATTAATAACATCCTTAAATGGTGAAGAACAATAAAGCTGCCTCTGTTTTACACTAGGAAAGGATGACATTTTCAAAAAGAATGTCTAATCAGCAACATTTTCTCAAAGTATTTTTCTTGCAACTGAGGAATAGATTAGTATCTGAAGTCTTAAACCCTTTTTTATTTCTCCTAAGGGTCAAATATATAAAATGAAAGCAGTTTAAAGCACTTAAAATTATAATAAAATATATTATTAAAAGAAGAAAGAAAAATATTAATTGTAAAGTTTATCATTTACCTTTTCACCGGCAATACCTTTTGCACCAGGAATTCCAGGAACACCCTGAAAGAATGCACAGGGAAGTGGAGTTTAATCACCACATCTGATGGTCCACCAGATGCCAAGTGGATTTACAAAGTGCTGAGAGGCTGAGGAACCATAACAACCTCAAGACTTTAGAATGAGGAACATTCTTGTAAATCCCCCAACTCTGGACTATCAATTATAGAACTACACATAGTGTACTTACTACCTTAACTTATCTAGATTCTTAATTCTGAAAACCCTTAAAGAAAATCCTACCTCTAAACGAATTGTTCTTCAAGAATGAAATTCCAAATTATAATCCAATACCATTTGCAAATAACAAGAGTTTATCAACATGATTTCATGTGCAGAATAACAAAATGAAATCTTAAAAAAATTCTAAGCTTTAAGTTGAAAAGCAGAATGGCTAGAGAATGTTGAGTATAAGATTTGGTGTTATTGGATGTCTTTGTGTTCTCTAACTAATGATTTAGGAATTGTCATGTCTGATAAATCAGAGGTCAGTCCTCAGGATTACCACATACCCCTTATTAACTAATTTGCCTCCAAAGAACCAAGAATATATGTGATGTAATCCACATAAATTTCCATCAACATTATAATTCAGGGAAACACTAAGCAGAATAGCTCAAAATAGCACATAATAAAACATGATATTTTGTATTTGACATTGTTCCCTGAGTATATTTTCAACCCTCTTATGTCTTAAACTACCAATAAGAGCTCTGGAACAGGTGAAAAGTAGGGGGGAATATATGATCCTGAACTACAGGCTTACTTAGTTAAAAAAAAATAAATGTAGGCTGAGTGAACTAAAGAGAAAAGAAGAAGGCAAAATGTAAAATTAAACCTTTATTAGGTAAACAGATGCCTACCTAGCAATTGAGGAAATATTATAAAAATGGCAGGTGTATTAATTTGCATCTCCCTTATTACGAGTGATGTTGAACATTTTTTCATATGCCTGTTGGCCATCTGCATTTTCTCTTTGGAGAAGTGTCTTTTTAGCTCTACGGCCCATTTTTTGATGGGGTTGTTTACTTCATTTTTGTTGAGTTTCATCAGTTCTCCGTATATTTTTGTGATCAGTCCTTTATCGCTACTTTTGTGTGAGAAAATGTTTTCCCAATTAGTGATCTTTCTGTTTGTTTTTAGTAATGTCTCTTTTGCTGTACAGAAGCTCTTTAACTTGATATAGTCCCATCTATTTATCTTTGCCTTCACTATTGTGGTGTTGGGTGCTCTGTCTTTAAAGATGTCGCTAAAGTGTATGTCGTGTAGTGTTTGACCCATCTTTGCTTCTAGATATTTTATGGTTTCCGTTCTTATGTCTAGGTCTTTAATCCACTTCGAGTTGATTTTTGTGACTGGAGTGAGGCAATGATCTAGTTTCATTTTTTTGCATGTAGCTACCCAGTTTTCCCAGCACCACCAAATTAAAACCACAATGAGATACCACCTCACCCCAGTGAGAATGGCACATCTTCAAACAACTAGCAACAACAAATGTTGGCGAGGATGTGGAGAAAAAGGAACTCTCCTGCATTGCTGGTGGGAATGCAAACTAGTACAACCACTATGGAAAACTGTTTGGAGGTTCCTCAAACTGCTAAACATGGAGCTTCCCTATGACCCAGCAATCCCACTCCTAGGTATCTACCCAAAAGACACAAAAACACTGATTGAAAAAGATACTTGTACTCTCATGTTTATTGCTGCTTTATTTACAATTGGAAAAACATGGAAGCAGCCCAAATGCCCAAAAGTAGATGACTGGATTAGAAAGATGTGGTACATATATACAATGGAATATTACTCAGCAACCAAAAAAGAGAAACACATGTCTTTTGCAGCAACTTGGATGGAGCTGGAAAAGAAAATGCTGAGTGAGATAAGCCAGAAAGAGAAAGAAAAATACCGGATGGTTTCACTCATAGCAGGAGTATAATGGACCAGGCGAGAAAATAACAAAAATAATGAACAACCATAGACCAGAGACATTCTGTGGGGGTGGAGTGGGGAATGGGACCAAAAACGGGGGGGGGGGAAGAGAGGGAAATGCACGGGACTATGGTGGTGGCACAGGGGTGATTTGGTGATGGGAAACCCGTGGGGATTACAATTGAGATGAAAAAAAAAAAATGTGCAAAATGATGTAAAAATAAACTTTTTAATAAAAAAAAAATGGCAGGTGTAAAAATTAAGTATCATATCTTCTCCAAAACTTATCAAACTACTCAATATGTTTCCCTCCAAAGTGTATATAAACCAATAAGCATTTAAAGATCAAATACTTACAGGTATACCCTGCAATCCTGCATCACCAGGAGGTCCAGGTTTCCCTGATTCACCCTGAAAAAAAAAAATTTATGTATCATTGAAACTGTGAGCTCCTGTCATTCTTTAAGGACATAAACTTTCTCAGCTGACCTAACAGGCCATTTAATATGACAAGTTCAGGGTAGGAATTAGGGCATAAAGTCAATCAAAAGACACAATTTCCTTGAGCCTATTTTCATCAACAGAACGTTCCCTGAGTTCCTGAAACCAAGCAAACATATTACTCTAATGAGTAATTTAAATTGATATTTGATTGAAAAGTTAAAAGGAGGAAAAAAGCTAAAAACCAGCTAATTAAGCCTTCAGTGATGTAGGAATGAAAATGGGTGCAAGGCTGGCCTGGACAGAGCGCTCCACTCATGCCTGCACTAAATCAGCCAGATACCTTTGTTCCGGGCATCCCAGGTATCCCATCACGGCCATCCACGCCTGGCAAGCCCTGAAAACACACAGAGAAACACACTGTCTCTTAGGAACGGTTACATTCTTCTTCCCTTCATCATTTTCTTGTTTTATTATAAGCTAATAATCAATTTGAAAAATGTACTTGAAGATTATAGCACAGGACATACTGTGTCTCCTTTGGATCCAGGGAGGCCAGGAATTCCTCGAGAACCTTGCAGCCCCTGCAAAGCAGAAGGGGAAAAGATGGGCAAGATAAGCTCAGTTACCACAGGATGTTGCTCAGTTATCACAGTACATAGGACACGTCAAAGAAATAGCCATGATCAGATGAAGAAAACCAGAGTAAAATGAAAGAGTAATTTGAACTCACCCTGTCTCCCTTGGGACCTACTTCTCCTGGAGGTCCCCGCTGTCCTTGATCACCCTGTAATGAGATGAAATTCATTAATATAAGCAAAAGTTACTTGCTGACAAAATTATAAAACATCATCCACATTACCAAATTGTTGTTTTTTTCATCCCATTGATTTTGTTCTTCTGTCATAGATGTCTAGTTCAGGAAATCTTGTTATAAACATACTGCTGTCTTAAAAACTGATGCTATCAATGGGCTAGTTAAGACTTGTATATCTTTTTATTTTAATTATAATAAAATGATATGTGTCCATGTTGCAAGTACAGCTAATTGTTAATATTGTTTCTTTATTTACTTTTGAAAATGCTTTGACACAGTTTTATGATAATGAGATACATATATATGGCAGTCAAAAGATGGAATAAGATCAGAAAGCATAAAAAGGCCACTCAGGGCCCTCCCTGGTGGCACAACAGTTAAGGCACAAGCACTATAAATCTAAGCATGGTATCCTCAGAAGAAGCTCAATCCCAGCCAGGGAGGTGACCCACATGGCACAGCAGCCTGCTCCTGTTTCACCTGCTGCTCCCCTCAGCGGGGTGCTTTGTTGATCTGCCTGCTCTGCTCCCCACTTTGTCTCTCACCACCCCTGCACCTCCGGCTTATACCCCAGTTCTGTATGCATAAGTAAGTAAATCTTAAAAAAAAATCCACTCAAAAACTTGAAATGAGATAAAAGTACCCTAAGTACTCTAAGTACCCTGAGAACCAAAGCAAAAGGTAATCACAGCAAGTATAAATGTACAATTTGACTTTACCTATGAGAAAACAAAAACCATATAAAGTCAGATAGTTCTCTATGCTCTAAAAATAAATACTTGTCTTAATTAGAATTTCTTAAAATAAATATTTTTAAAAATTGTCCATTTTTCCATTTCTATCATTCATGTAAAAGTTGCTTGCACACACACCTATATATATATTTTAATCACCACTAAAAAAGTCTATCAGTGGGTATAATGAAAGGCAAACCACTCACAGGTGCACCAGGAATACCTCGAGGCCCGGGATCTCCATCTAAGCCCCGAGCACCCTACAAAAAAAAAAAAAAGACAATAAATTAAATTTGAGATCAGTCATGTATGTCACAGTGCACATCAGTCATTTTAAGGAATTTTGTAGCCAATTAAACAGGGGTTTTATGTTCTCAATATGCAGTCTTCATTAACGAATCTCAAAGACTATTTAAACAAATACCTTACATTGAAAATACTAATTTACATCTTCTTATCCCAGAAATATCCAAACTTTGATACTACTCTGACATTTTAACACTGAATTGATTCTGAACTGCTATAGTGAACAAAAACACTGTACTATTAGGGAATCTGGCAAACCTACATCAAGAGGTTTGAATGACTTGCCAGAGTTTTCAGAATGACCATGGAAATTCATTAATGCAGAACACCAAGGAGACACCCCAAAATCAGTTGCCATGGATCTGATGCTGCCAGTGCTGCGGAGGAGTTTCTAGTGTTCAAGAATTCCAACAAGATCTGGAATCAGAAGTCCACCCATGTGGCTCAGAAGTATGAATTGTAATAAGAATTTGACCACCTTCTAGTTCACCTGGATAGATTCTAGGTTCGATTTGTATGAGTCTATTTTCTAAACAGGCTCATCCTACCAAGTGATGATGACATGAAAACTACCGGGCCTTTAAATCTAATTATCTTGAAGTTCTCTCTGACTTGGCCTGGTAATATTAATATTACACATACCACCACTTCCTCATTTTTATTATAAGAATAAAAATGTGACTATTACAGCAAAAATATGGCATTTTCTTGTGCTCGCTGCTTATGCCAGAGAGCTTCTTTAAATCTTTTTCTCATCTATTAAGTGAATGAGAAAGCAGCAAAGCTACTGACATGAACAGGTTATCTCTTAATGAAAAGGGTTGAAATAGGAAGATGATAAAATAAATGGGAAACAGTGAAAAGAATAGTGGCTAAATGTTGGGCCATGAATATCATGTAGACAGTGTCTGTAGTAATAATTCAAAATCATAAAGTCTTTCATAGAAGGTACACTCATAGGTAAAATCAAAGATAGAACACACCTGAAGCAGAGGTACCACAGAGCCCTGGCATTCTTTGATCCCTAAAAACTAGCAGAAGGCATTCTACCTGTACCAGGAGGAAGAGGTCCGGAAGACCTGAAAAAGGCCTTGAATTCGTCATTCATCTTGCATTATGAAAGTGAAGCTGGCCTTTGCATTATAGAAATGGCTTTGATGCACTCTCTCTCTCTCTCAGTGCTGTTCAGCATGAGCTCAGACCCAAACTGCTGTTACTAGGTAACCACTCCATGGGTCTGAGTTCACAGGAAGTTTTTTTTTTTTTTTTTTTTTTCCTATTGAAAGCAATTTGACAGAAATCAGAGGAAATGAGAAATTTTGAACTATCCCAAATGGAAAAATACCTCAAATAAAGAACATATCAAGACAGTAATTGGTTTCAAAGTGAAGGGGTCACATATTTGGGGAGATTATTTTAAATCCAGAAAAAGCAAAGGCCCAGCTATCAGCAATTTTAAAATAAGTGGGATTTATTACTTAATAACCAGAGAGATACACAGACTGCTACTTAAGGTAACATGAATATAGAAATAAAAGACTCCAATATATTTTTTAAAGTACAGTATTATTAGAAAAGAAATATTTTAGAGGAAATGGAAGAATGAAGGCAGTATAAAAAAATCTAGAGAGATAAACAAGAACCTTCAAGAATGAAAATGAGGAAATCATTTACAAAGGAATTCCTTTAATTCACAAAATTGTACATTTTTAAAAAAACAATTTACTCTCATTTGTTGAACACCTACAATGCACAAGTTATCCCTGCTTTGTTGCTAATAAAGGGTCTGTGCTGCTTTGTGTATACACAAATTAGCCACAGAGGTCCTACAATAAACGAGGCAAGGATTAAATGTGGGGGTGGATAAAGACTCTCTTATTTTCTGGAGTTTACAGATTCACTTTCCTAGCATATGCTCTTAGGAGTTTTAACAATTTCCCAAAAATTAATAGCAAAGCTAGACACTTAGGCAGTGGTGGGGAGGAGAAGCCATTTCTGAGCATACCACCAACGGTCAGATTTCCGTTGCTTTTGTCCATGATAGTCACTCCAGCATTCGCGGTCCTTCAATCCTCCCCTAGCAGCAAAACCTCATCCTTGTAAGTCCAGCATCCATCCTTCCAATACCACCTTCTTCATGAGCAACCACATCTTCACTGCCCTGCCAAATGCCCTAACATTTATGCCTCCCTTTTCTGCATTACAGTTAGTTTCTACTTTGCTGAAGACCTCATTCCTTTGTGAATCTCTCCAGCTTTTCAGTGAGTGCTTTGCTATGGAAATGCTGAAAGAATCTAGTCTCTGAAACCAGGCTCAGCACAGAAAGGTAACTCTGGCCATAGGACTGTGATCTCTGTTAAAGGCAGAGGTCAGCAGTCAACATGGTAGTAGAGTCACGATGGCTATACCTCACGAGGGCATTCTGCCTCTCCTTTGCCATTCTCTTATCTTTGCCTTGCACATGCAGGTACTGTGTCAGTGCTATCAATGTAAACTACCTACAAGGATAGAGACAAATGTAACCTGCTTATTAATAGTTATTTATGGTAATTAAAAATACACATAAATATCATGTAGCTCACTCATTTCTATCATAAATATTTATAAAAGAAACATGAAAACCTAACTAAACCTCTACAAAGCAGGAAGTAAAAAATAGTGATGTTGCTGAAGATAAAATGTATTCAAGTGGTCAAAATTTTGAATATTTATGCACTTTGATACTGAATCATCATTATCATCTTACTTTTTCCCCCTTGGCTCCAACTATACCAGTGATTCCTCTCAATCCTTGAGCTCCCTGGAAATATAAAAAAGAAAATTATTTTATTTGATGTGCACATTCTTTTATCTCGTCACAAAAGCTGACCCAGAAGGATGACATCATCACCAAAGGTAAGAGCAAGAACTAGTGGTATTATGTAAGCAAACTTCTCTAGTCTCAAAAGAGACATCCATGAAGAATTATCCTAACAATAAAATCTTTTGAAAATAGTGAAGATTTATACAATTTGGAATTTTTAAAAAATTATTGTTGACAAAAAATATAAATATCATGAGCCAAAGAAAACTGTGACAATGTATTTGACTTGCCTTTTAACACATGTACAAAATGCAAACCACCATTCCCACCCCCTTCATTTGTAACTTAGTTACATATAACATAATTGTGATTTTAAGTCTTAGACTAATCTCCCCCACCAAAGCAGATCATCAAAAAGGCATTTAAGTTCCCAGGTTAGCCTAAACAAAAGTTTATGAAGCATACATGAAGCTACAGTCTCGATCAATTGCTTCTCTTCATTGTACTCCATATGGCCATTTCTATGATCAAAGGCATTCTGAATTCCAATTTCGGGCAGTAGGAACCCGTCTCGTTCCATCTCAGGCACAGGACTGGGTAATCCTAAAATTAAGGGTGTGGGGTATGATTTCTAGGCTCTTTCATCATGGACAGGTTTCCAGCCACAGGGGTGCAGAAATGATCCTGCAAGAGGGCACCAGTGGTGTTTCATCAAGAAAGCAGCGCTGCAGTGCCCACGCTGGCTCAAGGCAGAGTATCTCTAGGCCACTCATTTCATTTGTGTTCTCACTTGAAGAAAATGGGGCAATTTCAACACCAAACTCTACATTCAAGTCAGTCACAAATTCAGTGTTTAGAGTTAGGAGTGACAGGAAATCCAAAGGTGTATGAAGAGCCACTTAGGCTATTAGGCTACGAGATATAGGTTTATCATAGTAAAGCTGCTCTTTCTGAAGGCATTTCTACGAAAAGAATTCCCCCAAAAGGTGGAACAATAGCAGTGACATGAGAACCTCAGCTATTATTCCTCAAAGTAACAACTTTGAAAAAAATAAAAGGCCTATTTTGTTTTTATAATATTGCAATGAAATGCTTTATAAAGAATCATATTATAGTAATAAGGGAAGAAATAGTAGCCCTGAGTTTGTCTTCCCTAATAATTTAGTTTCTGAGAGTAGAACTCAAGCTTATCTTCTCTACGGTCCAAATCTCATTTAGCTGCAAATGTGCAATAAATTTTCTGAAATTATTTCCAAATTGTCATTACTCATTATGACAAGAAAAAAAGTACAATTCCACTTTCATATACAAAAGTAATGCAAGACCTGATTTAACAAGCAATTTAGATTGATTTCAATGTCCCAAATCACCTCACTGTTCATATTATTGCAGCAATATGTCAAAGCCTTTTATTAAAAGACAAGATTATGAGCAATTAAGAATGTTCTAAATGTACCGAATATATACTGTTATAAACTATACTAATCCAATGAATGATTTACCTGCTACATTTCAATCTATAAAGAAGTTTCCCATTAGGCCCTCCTTGGTGGCACAGCGCATTAAAGCACTGCACTGAGAAGCTAAAGCCACTTCTGGATGAGTTAGATTCCCACCTGTCCCGGAGATGACCACATAGTGTGGCAGACCTCTCCTGACCCGCCCGCTGCTCCTCTCAGCAGTGTACTTCGCCGATCTGCCTGTTCTATTCCCCACTCTGTCTCTGGTGAAGCCTCTTGCCACTCCTAAGCCTCTGGCCTGTACCCCAGTTCTGTATGTACAAATAAAATAAATCTTAAAAAAAAAAGTTTCCCATTATATCGCATGATAGTAGCTTAAAACATAAATATTTGCTTTCAGATTGCCTGATCCACAGATCTAGTAATAAATGTATATAATTCAAAGTAGATATTTTCTGTTAAAAAAAAATGCTTGCACAGAACCTCTCTGGTGAACCAGGGGGTAAAAGACACAGCTATCAAGCTATTGCCAGCCACTGCAGCACAAGTTTGACCCCTGGCCAGGGAGCTAACCAGCCTGGTGCAGCAGACCTCTCCTATCTTACCCACTACTCCCTCAGCAGTGTATTTCAGTCAGTCTGTCTGTTCTGCTCCCCACTGGGCCTCTGCCTCTCACCCCCAAACCCCACACCTCCAGCCTGTACCCCAGTTCTTATATAAATAAATAATCTTTTTTAAAAAAAATATTTGAATGTACAATGCTTAATTTCCTGTTTTGAAAAGATGGTTAGAAAAAGAGAGGCTGTCATTTAATGCTATTAACCCAAATGCTAAATAGAAAATATTCCAAAATTCATCGAAAAAAGAATACTTGCATATCCTTGTTAAATATTTCTTAAAAAATACTTTACTGGAGGTCCTTGAGCTCCAACTTCTCCCAGTTCTCCCTGGTCACCTTCTTCACCCTAAAAAGCAACAAAGAAAAGCACACCAAATATTATTTTAGCAAATCAACATAAAAGTACACTCAGACTAACTCAGTGGAATCCACATTTATTGGCATCCTCTAAATAACTCTACTATACTTTCTCAAATTATTTTAACTGCAAATATAGAGAATACAGAGAAGTTTAGCACCAAAATTAACAACTTCCATTATTCAAATGTCAGTATTATTGTCTTTTTCTAAGTTTCCCAAAATGTAGAGGACAAAGGGCCAAGAAAAGGAGAAAAAGAGAAACATGTTATGTGTTCTCTTTTCAAAGGTATGCGTGTATATTTGTGGGGGTGTATATTAGGAAAATCTACAATCACACTATGCAAAATTTTCCATAAACTACAATATTTGACCCATTATTTTCATTTTAACTTTTCTTATTATAATTTTAGACCATATGTAATTTTTAAATGAATTAAAAATCACTATTTTTCATGGCTTACATCTTTGCTGTCACACATAGAAAAAGCCTTCTCCACAACTCAAGTACAGAAATATTCATACATATGTTTCTTCTGGTAATTTTGTAGTTTCATTTCTTCCATAGAAATCTTTTCTTATCAGTAACTTATTTTATGCAAAATATAATATAGATATACATTTTGTCTGGTAATTGGTCACTTAATGTAATAGCATTTATTGAATAATGGATTCTCTCCACATAAGTTGAAAAGCTCATCTTCAACATACACTAAACTGTAATACTTGTTTCTAGACTTCCTATTTTGCTCTATTCACCTGTTAAAATACTGTCAAATACCACATATTTTAATTGCTGAAATTTTCATTTATACTTTTATTTAAATTTTTCAAATATTTACTCTTTGAGATGAACTTCATATTTATTTGAAGATCTTCACAAAAACACTACTCTTGTTTTATCACTACATTAAATTAATGTTTTCATATGGAGAGAATTAGAATTTTCACAATATTGCGGTTCCATCCTGGAACTTAGTGTTTCTGCTTGTGTGCTTTTTCTTTCCATCAATGATAAGGCTTTGTTCCTTTTTCTTTCTATTACTCTTAAATATTTCTTAAGTTTTTTCTAAAATATTTTGACTATATGTTTACTGCCAGTGGAATCTTCTTCCAGTGTGTTTTCTAATTACTGATTTGACTTTTTAATACTAACTTTATACTCTCTGATTTACTTTAAAATATGATATTCCAGAAAGAAATTCAAGTAACTCAAAGAGAGAAAGACAAATACCTGATGGTATCACTTACATGTAGAAGATAGAGAAACAAAACAAAAGGTCAACAAAATCTAACATGCCCCTTGGACTCTGGCAACAGAACAGAGGTAGCTACCACAAGAAGAAAGGAACAGGACGAGGCAAGAAGAAAATGGGGAGGAAGCACAGTGAACAATGGGAATGGACTGTGGAAGCTTCAGTGTGGGTAGAAACAACATAAGAAGGAAGAGATCCTATACCTCTAAAATACAAACAACAATGTAAACCCAATTTTACCTAAATAAAAATTCTTAGAAAATAAAATAAAGAAATCCAGTTCCTGTCTTGTACAAAATAATTATTTTATGACTGCTTGGAGTTAAAACATATTTTCTTTCCAAGACAGGTTTTAAAAAACTTTATAGTTCTGATGCTAATAGAGATTACAAGAGGAATAGTTTCTACTTTAAATATTGTTGTAAAATGTTAGAAAATAGTGTTGTAAAATATTAGGAAAAGATTCAGTTCTGTTTTTCCATTCTTACATGTTTCAATTCACTCATGCTCTTGCTGACTCACATAAATATACTAAATGGTATATTTATATTGATACAAAGAAATATAGAAAATATGATATTATCATGTATTAATATAGAATATTTTAGCATATTTTGCAAAGAACTAGATTTTGCCTAAATCATTGTTACTTGATTTTTGAATAAAACATGAGAGTCTTACATAATAGTTTTAGTTTCATCATTATGTTCAGATTATATTCCATAAGAACATGCTTGGCAACTCCAGCGCTATTGTCAATCAATTTGCTAGTTCATTGAGTGGATGATCAATACCTGTGTATAATTAAATGCTACTTCTGTTTTCCTAAGTAATTACAAAAACAACAATGATTGACATATCCACTGTAAGTTTTTTTCAGTAAGGTTTGGGATATTTTTTCAAAGATTCTTTAAAAATCTTGAAGTAGTATATTTATTTTAAATGTTTCACCAGCATGTATGTAACATGCAGTAATCTGCTGAGGGGAGTAGCAGGCGAGCCAGGAGGGGTCTGCTGTGCCATGTGGATCACCTTCCCTGCTGGCGGGGGATGGAACTCACACTGAGCAGCTGCAGCTAACTTGCGTCCTAACCCATTGCACCACCAGTGAGGGCCGCACATTTTTTATATGACAGAAAATTGTCTTAAATTTTCACTGGAAGTTGTTAAAATTCCTTTAATTTACAGCCATGTTTATGCCACTTAAAACTTTTAGTGGTGTTTTTGAAAACTGACATAAGAAGATAAGCTGTTAATAGCTCATTGAAGAGCGAATCTTGAAAGACTAACAGATACACTGAACTATAAACTGAAAGGATAGTGGTGGAGAATTGAGGCTAATGCCTGAAGTTTGCATCAGATTCACAATTCTGCTTTGAATTTACTCTACAAATTAGCTAATGAAGATTTAAATTTTGTTCCTAAAAGAGGAATGAGTAATCAAGTCTTTCAGTAAAATGATAGTAAATTGTATCAAAAGTCTTTCAGTAAAATGAGAGTAAATTGTTATTCTTTTGTAAAGTATTAATGAAGTAAGAAGGACAAAAAATCTACTATACCAGAAGCCAAAATTTTAAGATGCTTAAAGATGATTTACCCAAGTGGATTGAAAAAAAAAAAAAAAACAAGATGTCACCATGTTTTAAATTTCCATCTTAATTTTTCTGCAGAACATACCAGCACTAATACAAGCTGTGTTGTGGATTCCATGTTTCTATGTACACAGCAACATAAATCCTACTGCTAGCTTACAGATTCCTCAAAATCTAAGATATATGGAAATGAAATCAGAAACAAATTATTCTAGAATTTAAGATGAGAAACTATAAGCCAATTATTAACTTCTCCATCTGCCATTCTTAGCAAAACTTGTCATAAAAAAAATCAGATTTGTCATAAAATTTTGTTTAGTGGAGTGGAACAACTAGATGAACAAGGTTTTACTAACAAAAGTATCAAGGAAAAGAGCTGATTGTGACTGACTTGAAAAGGAAGCATAGGGTAGCAACTTAGGAAACAATGAAAATGTTTGGTATTATTTTTTTGTAATTGAATGTTAGAATGTTATGCTTAGTCAGACTATTGATGCACCTACTGAAAATTTGTCAAGCATCATTTGAAAAGAAAAGGTAAAACAGCACACTATATTATTCCTTATAATTCCTCATAAAGAAATTTTAAGTAAAATGATTACTATCTCCTAAGTACAATTTACATTTTGACCACTCCTTTTCCTTACCTTGTGACCTTGTCTTCCAGGTTCACCAATTTCTCCTTTAGCTCCTTTGTGACCCTAACAAGTGCAAAAACTAATTAATTAATCAACAGTGACATTGGGTTTCACACAGAGGAAGGCCACAGGTCATAGAGTGATCTGGTTTCCCTAAATCTGCTGAGAAAAAGATTATGTCACTAAGAAAATAACCACTTCAAATGATCTTAGACACACTCTGAGTATTGTGTGATGCTGTATATGATAAATATCTGGTTTAGTTAATAGGAAAATATTATTCTAGAATTTTAAAAAATGCTCCAGTACCTAGTCTGGTGATGCAGTTCATTGATACTTGCCTACTAGCACCTAGATTTTTCTTTCCCCAGTTTTCTCTCACTATTGAATTATTTATTTTTTATCTATATGGAAAATATTGAAGTAATTATGATGGTAGATGGAGATGAAAACATTTTGGAAAGTCTCTTCTCTTGGTTATTTCGTGATTTTCCCAAGTCAACTAAAAAGTCTCAAATACATATGAACACATAATGTATACTACACATTATGTGCTCTGTCTCCTCCCCTTTCCATCTCTCACCACAGGAGACAAATTTCAGAAAGTTGATTGATGTCTAGAGTCTCAAGCCAATTCATTTAATATTCTTCCCTGAACAAAAGAATTACTGGACAATCAAACACTATGTCCCAGTAGGAATACCTACCCATAGAATTTCTAGATATGAATAAGGACCACAGAATAAGCAAGCAAAGATTTGCCTAATCCATCAGAGTGGGATATCTTGGATAATATTCTTGAAAATATGATATTTAAGTGATTCTCTTACTCTCATGCCTGGCAGACCTGGATATCCCGAGCGAGCTGGTGGACAGGAATTGGGACACTGCAATGAAAACACACAGGAGAGGAGAGAGAGAGTAGATAAGCTGGAGTCTCTGTGTTGTGGTAAAGTTAAAGTGTTTTTTTCTTTTTTCTTTTAGGGATTCCAACTACGGAACCCCAAAGCAATTATATTCATTAAATATCTATGAATATCCTTTTCTTGTTTTTATATTTCTTTTTTAAATTTGGAAGTATTCTTAGCTTACAGAAAAGTAGAGAATAAAGCAAACCCTTCCCCCATGTAGCCACTATCCAAAATTGTAATATATGTTAATAGTTTGTCATATTTATTTCAGATATAAATTTTTAAACAAAATATTTGCAGACCACACATTGAACTATGTCCTGATCCGATTCCCTCCCAGACCCACTGAAAAAGCTCCATTCTGAGTTTCACATGCCTACATCAAATGGGCCAAAATTGTTCAATATCACTTGAACATTAGCATGTAAGAAGAATGAGTTATTTAATTATATCTCCTAAACTGAGATATTCTAGTGAAAAACATGCCTTGGTAATAAGCTAAAATGATCATGGAAAAGTACAGAACCTCCATAATGAAAGCCAGATACAGTTCGAGGATACACAGCAACCCCAGTGGTACTATGGATGGCACTGCTATTGAGTAAAAGTAAAATGCAGAAATACAGCATCGTGTAGAGATAATTTTAAGGAGAATTCATCAGAAGATTATGGTCTTGACTTAAAACTCTATGTTTTGTTGAAAAGAAAACTTCTTACCAACGGATCTCCATCATGAAAGCCAATTGTTCCCTAAGGTAAAGAAAAGACAGTCAAGAATATAACTAAATTGGGCCCTCCCTGGCTGCACAGTGGGTTAGGACACATCACTGCAAGCTAGCAGTCACTGCAAACTAGCTGCAGCAGCTTCAGTGTGAGATCGATCCCTGACCCCGGAGGTGACCCACATGACACAGCAGACACCTCCTGTCTTCCCCACTGCTCCCCTCAGCAGTGTACTTCTCGATCTGCCTATTCTGCTCCCCACTCTGTCTCTTGTGAACCCTCACACTGTTCTTGCACCTCTGCACCTTTTTAAAGATGTATTTATTTGTTCATTCATTCAGAACTGGGGTATAGGCTGGAGGTGCAGGGGCGGTGAGAGGATTCACCAGAGACAGAGCGGGGAGCAGAACAGGCAGATCCACAAAGTATACTGCTGAGGAGAATAGTGGGAGGGTCAGGAGAGGTCTGCCTCGCCATGTGGATCACCTCGCCTCCGGGGAATGGCAGGAATCCAACTCATGCAGAAGTGGCCTCTTGGTGCTGTGCTTTAATCGCTGCGCCACCAGGAGGGTCCAAAAAATATATATTTTTTTAAAGTATAAATTTTTTTAAAAAGAATATAACTAAATAATGAATTTACATACCTACTAATAATAGAAATCTGATGGACAAAAATGTAATAGATATATTTGCTCAAAAAATATAGAGAGTAAATATCAGCATATAGTAAGCTAATAGTCTAAAAACTCAATTCATAGCCAATCCCTTTAAAACATTCTTAAATTGCACTAAGTTCATTTAAGAAATTGAAGGGAAAAGCAATGACAGAATAGAAAATATGGGGAACTCTGAATCAAAGTTAAAAATCTTCTACTTCAATTACTATTTTTAAAATTCTTAACTGTGTAAATTCTTTGTAAAAACTAGTTCATTTAAAAGTGTTCCCTTTATAAGTGTAAATTTTAAGCATTTGCTAAATTTCAAACATCAAAGGACTTCAAATATAATGAGTAAGTTGTTCTCTATCAAGTCTGCCTTTTCAATCATTGTGATTCCTCTGTTTTTCTGGCCTAAAGAGAAAGACCAATGTTTTGGATGGATGAAAAAAAGGAAAAATGCCAGCAATTTTGGAATTTTAGGATCATATGGCCTAAAAGGCACTTTTAATTTAGGTTCCTAGGTTTCTTTAATCCCACCTTCCAAAGGCAGAGAAATTAAAGTTAAAAATAACTTACACTGGGTCCTGGAGGGCCAGGAGGGCCAGGTGGTCCTCTTCTCCCAGGATCACCCTAAATTATTTGAAAATTGTGACACCATGGTTATTCACATGTCAAAATACAGTACCCTAAAACTGGTACTGGCATCAGAGAATGATATTACTAAAAAGTCCTCTAGAGCTCAGAACTGCCACCAAATCAACAGGTAGTCCATAATCTAACTAGGTCCATAAACCCTGAAGAAAAAAGTGTTCTAATCACACCCAGGTAACAAGGTATAGTTGGGGGAGGGAATAGTAAAGTCAAAGTCAATTCTATTCTTGTGCAATGATTGATTTATCAGCTCTGGAAACATTAGATATTATGTTAGTTAATGTACAGAATTGGAAAAGTCTGTTAGTGCCATTCAGCTAATCATAGCAAAAGAAAGCTTGCACCCAGCCTGAAGCTATAAAATACAAGGTTAATGGCTACAATGACTGACTCTTCCTAGAACTATTCACCCATAAGCATTTCATCTGTCACTATACTCTTGTAAATGGAACAGAAAATTAAAGATGGACAAATTTGAATAAGTTTTTTAGATGAAAATAAGTTCCAATTAATCTTAATATTTAGCATTTACTCCTGATATATTTTCCTTCTTAATATTCGACCACAAGAAGTCAAAAGCATCTTACAATTAGTTTAACTTTACAATCAATTCATATTCATTCATATATTTAGTGAATAAACATTTCAAATGTTCATCCAGAGATAACAGTATATAGCATATGACTCCTTCTCTCAATGAGTTCAAAATTAATTTACCTTCTCATAGTATTGCTGCTTCAACATTTTTGAAATATTTATTGAATATCAACATCAAATACTTTTAGCAGCAATTTCCTCTACCAAATTCAACTCTATTAACTAAAGTTAAGTTCTGTTGGCTCAATTATAATTTAATGGCCCTAACATAAATATACATGGCAATAATTTGACAATTTTCATTTCATGCAGAAAATCTAATACAAAATTCATTGGACCCTAATACTGGCTGAAAGCTTATAATATGAAGGTAACACTCCCTTACTTTATGACTTATTCCAGAAGTTAGAAAGAAAAGTTTAGCTTTATAAAATCACTCTATAAAAATGAGGTAGCATTATTACCCCTGGCTCCCAACATTACCATGAACAAGAATAAAATCCATCTGCTAGATGGATTGTTTTTGTTTGTTTGTTTCAGGGAAAACATACAGTTAGGGCAATTTTCTCTCCCTAGAAACATCTTCTTTTAAATCATAATGTGTCGAAATAAATGCCTGTCGTACTCACAATTGGTCCAACACGGCCAAGTTCTCCAGGAAGTCCTGCTGCCCCAGGGGGACCCTGAAGTCAACAAATCCATGGCACAGGGTGATTTGTGAATGCTTTCAGTACTTCGCACAAATGATATCAAATATAACAAACAAGCAAGTTAGAGTCATGCATCTGTCCTACTCTTGGTTTCTGTGAGGTAATTACTCACTTGAACAAGTTTTAATTATTTAAAATAGAACAGAGTGGATGTGGTGTTACATACTTCTGACTAGGTATGAAACCATAACACTAAGTCAGATGCAATGTTGTAAAGCAATGTTGTAAACCATTTTTACTGTGATAAAAATAATAAAATAAAATGGAAGAGAAACTTCTTCAACTAATAAAATATTTTCTTTGGCAGAATAGGAATGCTGTCCATGTAACTACCTAAAGATAATATAGGTAGAACCCTATAAATACCACTGGGTAGACTGTTAGTTGGAAAGGAAAGATGGGGTCTGAGAAATAGGCCATTTTTATAGACCATGTAAAATAAACCAAAGGATGGTACTTACAGGAGGCCCAGGAATACCACGACCCTGAAAGATTAATAAGAATTATTATGGTATGTGACTTATATTTAAGATTAGTATGCACAAAGACATAACTCACTTCAAAAATAAACTATCATTAGCTAAATATATGATGCTTATTCTAAAGAAAGCACTGGATAAAGAAAAGCAAACATGACTCTGTTCATTAAAGGAAACTTGTTTCAGGTCTTCAAACGTTCCTTTGAGGTCCAAGCTAACAAGTAATTTTTTTGCAAGCTTTTAAAAAAGAAAATGAAAGTAAAGTCTCCCTCAAGAGAATTTACCATCACTTACAAAGAGGAATGTCACAGCCTGCCAGTTTTAGAGATTTTTTTACACTTGTCTATATTTTATAGATACCGACATTAAAAACAATACAATGTACTGCTTTACAATTTATAATGGTGTTTCAGAGTTCCCCAGCCAGACAGTCATCACAGATAGGCAGGGTAGGAAAAAAGGTCAGAAAAATGGGACCCCCCCCTTTAATAGCAGTGTTGATTTTCCAGACACGAATCCAACAGATATCGAAAATAAAATGGCATCACTCCCGAAGCATCCTGTGATAGGATCTTAGCGTAAGTGGTGAATTTGATTGTAAATATAGCCATTTTACTTCCCACTTAAATGCTCTTTCCCAGTACCAAACTGTATATAATGAAGAACTGAAACCACATTTTCTCTTTAGTTATGATTCCCAGCACAGTGCCTAGAATATAATAAACCCTAACTATATGCTAGCTGAACTTCATAAAACTGAATATCAATTGCTTCTCTGTTTTTCATGCTCAATTTTTCTCCCATGGGATTCATCATTACTCTTTTCTCTCCTCTACACTAGCCTAAATAGCTTTTATTCACCACTAACTGTGACATGATATTTATATTAGCTTTTCATCCAGATTTTCTTTTCTAAAATATCTGTATCGGAAGCATCCAGTAGAATTAATTTGAATATCAATTATATCTGATATTATCATTTTTAATTTTTAGGCAGTCCAAAAAACAAGAATTTCATGTAAGTGATTTGTTTTCATGCTAAAACAAATTTGAGGGCCTTTTTCAAGGAATTCCTAAGAAATCATTCCTAACTGAATATTTTAACATGTGGATCAATTTTGGAAATAAAAGTTAGGTTAGGCAAAGTAATCAATAAGCTATTTCATTATCAGATCTATATGGCTGATAAGTTTCAATAAATAAAAAAAGCCTGTATGGAAGATGTTGAGCTCCAAGTTGAAAAATATGGGAAAAAGGAGAGGCGAAAAGGTGAAGGGGAGAGAGGAGATTTTGAGTGAGAAACTGCCTCTGATTCCCCTTATTGAGAAGCTATTCCATATAGATCTGCTTCAGAAACTATTCACTTCTGAAAATAGGATATAAGGGGAAAGTTGACAGATGCTGAAATATGGCAAAGAAAACAGTGCAAATAGAAGGCATGAAGAAAAATATATAGGTTAATGATAAGAACAAAAGAGGAATCAAGAACAATATAGAAAGGAAAATCAGTCAAGAACCTATTCCTTTTACCATTAGAAATAACACAGATGTTGGATTGTGTAGAGTAGGAAAAGACTAGGCAAGGAGTCAGGTGGATGACAATATCTGAGGGTTGACTCTGCATTAGCAATGTAAGCAGTTGAGCAGAAAGTGGTGTCAGCTTATGGTCAACATACTTGCATTTGCTGTTGTTATGCAAGAAAGGTTTTCCTTTGGTGGGGATGGAGGGAGTATTACCTGTTGGGGAAAACCTGCAAACACACATATGTATTTAATGTTGTACATTCAAATTTCTCTCCCAGTCAGCTTGCTTACCTTGCCAGATAAGTCATAAATTCCTTTGTGATTCATATTATGTAGAAAATTGCTTTTAAAAATTTCAAGTGGCAGTATTTCACCCTAAGATAGAAGTTTTTTCAATTCTGTCACTTTACATTTACTTACTGGAAATCCACGAGATCCTGGCACACCCGGCTCTCCCTAAAAATAAAAATAGTTTCATTACTCTTAGTTTTAGTAGCATGGATATGTAAATATGTAACTGCATACATATTAAAATCCCTAAAACACTCTATCTTAATGTTTTTAATTTAATTCAGCTAAAACATTTCAGTTGAAAAAGCATATTTCAATTTCAAAGCTTTATAATTTAATATGTTAGTAGATTTGCAAAAACACTATAATAAAATTATACTTCAGCTTTTCATTAATACCAGTAACTAATAATTTACCTTCTGCCCTCTTGGTCCAACAGAGCCAGGAGACCCATCAGGTCCAGTTAATCCCTATCAAAGCAAGATAATTAGGACAGAATTGTTATAGTTCCTTTAGACAAACCTTTAAATGGATAATTCCATTTTATTTATTAATTATCTGCAGGATGGTTAAAGTTATATGATGCAAGTATGTATAAGGAAATAGCTTTCTACATGAACTCTATTAGTTTCTATTGATAAATTTTATCATATTCCTAACTTCCTGATAACTCCATTCTTTACCACAGTATTCAATAATTTAATACTTTAGGCCTGGACTTTGAAAAAATACAATATGGCAAATACAGCATTACAGTGTTCTAACAGCTAAGTCTGATGGGACAGCAGTTCTTGGCTCTGTTTTAACCATGTTCATATATTGCCACCTGCTTTACTTAATTTATAAAAATAAAACCATGCTATACCTCTATAATACTAATGTCTTGACCATTATAAAACATTTCTTCAATACGAAATAAAAGGAATCTCATTATTGTGTTAGAGACAGCTAAAGCCTTCTAGCCAGCTTCCAGAAATGAGAATTGCTTATTGAAGAATGCTAACTTTTAAAGTTAAATATTTGAGAGAACACATATGACCATACATTATCTTTCTTGGCAAAAATAGCTATATATATTAACTATGTATTTACAATATGTAGTATGTAACTCTGCTATTACATAACATTATAAATATCATATTATATACTAAGACATTTAATAGTTTCAAGCATTTGAATTTTCCTGACCAGTAAAAACTTTATCACCAAATTTTTTATAAAATAAAGTTCAAAGTATAATACTGTATATACACCTGATTGTCTATATTTGGTGAAAATACATTTAAAGTTTTTCTTTACTCTTTGACACTTTTCAATATAGACATTTGTAATGCAATCTTATAATATGCTAAAGATCAATATTTGCACAGTACCTGTCATAGTTACTTTCCAACCAGTGATATCTAATACTGAAAAATACTGAACTATATATACTATGTTTTTTCCTGTATATATATATATATACCTATGATAAAGTTTAATGTACTATTAGATGCAGTAAAAAATAAACAATGATAACTAATAACTAAATGGAACTATATCAATATATTATAAGTTATGTAAATGTGTATCTCTCTCAAAATATATTACTGTACATGGTATTTTGGGCCACAGTTCACCAAAAGTAACTAAAAGTAGAAATGGAAGGCATAATGCGTTGATGCTATTTGTTTATGTGTGTGGATAGATGGATAAAAAGATATATATTATATAAATAAAAGTAATGCATGCCAACATGTAAATATCCTATTTGTATTTTTATAATAAAAAAATACAGAGGTTTCATATTTAAAACCTATATATTATCAAGATTCTGGAAAAGATTCAATTGATAATAATTGAGAGGTGAATATCTTGATATGTAAATTCTACTTAAAAATAGATCAGAAAAGCCATATTTAATCTGTAATAGTTTGCATAACTAGCAGTGAAATATTTCATATATTTATATAGAAAACTAGTTTATTGTTCACCATTTCCATATTTCTCTACATGAATTAATTTTTCTAATAACTCCGAAGAATGAATCAAAGGAAATAGAAAAAATGAGTTGAAAATATTAATTACTGAATTTTACTAAGAAAATTATTAAACACACACAAAAGAATTTTTGGCAGACTGTCTTTGATTTTCAATGGTCCTGGTCTCATTCTAGCCTTGTAATTTGGGAATAAAACCCCACATATTAGTTGCTGAGCACATATGGTAATGGAACACTGGGTTTTGTATTTCACCAAACAAACCTTAAATGTGTGTCCCAGATCACAAGCATAGCGATTTTATAAACTTCAGCTCTTACTCCAACTTTCCTACACATACCATCCAAGAATAGTCTTCTCCAATACCCACACACAGCCAATGAACCATCTTCTATCTGTGACTGGAATAACTGACAAGATGAAGGATAGTAATTGCTTTATTTAATAAAATTTCAGCTGAATTATAATAAAGCGGAACCTAGTAAATGATTATGTCACCTGAAGACTGCTCCCAGGTCACTTCTTATTTAAAGTATTTTTCATAAGCTATGAAAAATGATGTCTATCATCGGCAAATTTTTAATTAAATTGAAGATAGATTCTGGTGTCAAAAGCTCTGTAAGGACAAGGTTGGTGTCCATTACAACCCCAGCACACTGTCTCTGGCATCTAACACACATTCAATACATAACTAAGGAATAAAGTTAGTCTATTAGGTGGAGAAGTAAATTCATTTGTTCCTCTTAATTTTTGGTTCATTGCCATATAGCTGCTCAAGTTGCTTAACTACATAGTGCCTTAGTTTGCTAATCTATAAACATAAGTATAACATTAGTATCTACCCCAAATGATAACTTGAAGAATATATGGAATATTACACACAAAGTACGTTGAACAGTGCCTGTCAGGGTTGATCCTGACAACAGTACTTGTGAGTCTGATTGTTGATGCTGTGAAGAGTTCACAAGAAAAACATGTTTCCTGTGCTGGAAACTTAACATCCCATTCAGAAAGTGTTATTAATATAAATAAGCAAAAGAGTCTAGATCTTAACCATGGTCACATATTTCATAGCCAACTCACATTTCTCTCATGTCTAATAAATCCACTTACAGTGACCTTTCTGAAGAATTTCTTAGTAACTCACTATCTTAATCACCCTACATCTTCCAAGGATAATGGTTGTGTACGTTGAAAGATGATAAAGCACATAACTTGTTTCCTATAAAAGTGACATGGTTTAATGGTAATTCTTATAATTAATTCTAATTCCTCTGTCTATCTCAGATGGATGTTCCAAAAATGAATAAAATATTGTTTTAAAGAGATCGCTTAGCACCTCATACAAATGACACCTGTAAGAGTATTAATATCATAGATAACAGCAAGTGGTATTCTTTGAGTATAAAATTCTAACCAAGCTCTGATTTCCTTAATTTTACATATTAGCAACATCATCTGATTAATCATTTAACATTACCAAAAGACACAGCATTGCAAAAAATCAAAAAGCAGAAAAGAAGTTGGAGTTTTAAGGTTCCACCTCTACATGCAAGGTCACCTGTCAAGAAAAGAATGTTGAAGGCTTTCCTACTGACTGTGTTCCCCTGTGTTCTGGGACAAACAGCATACTCTGATCTAAGGGCCACTGTTTCATTATTCTTAATGCCTGCTCTGAATTTAATGTAGCAGTTTTAGTGCCTCTTGTTGCCCGGTATCAATTGCTTTGTTTAGAATGTCAATTGGGGCCTTCCCTGGTAGCGCAGCAGGTTAGGACACAGCCCGACAAGTGAGCCGCAGCCACTTCAGTGCGAGTTAGATCCTCGGCCTGAGGTGACCCACATGGCACGGCAGACCTCTCCTGACCTGCCCACTGCTCCCCTCAGCAGTGTACTTCGTGGATCTACCTGTTCTACTCCCTACTCTGTCTCTGGTGAACCCTGTCACCACCCCAAGCCTGAGAGCAGGCTTGTACCTTAGTTCTGTATGCATAAATAAATAAATGTTGAAAAGAAAATGTCAAGTAGACAAAGAGTATAGTAATAAGTCTAGTGAACTCAAATCTTTACATCCTTATGGATCTAATTCAAAATTTGGTGAACTTGAACCACACTGATATTTACAAATATAGAAATTAATTCTAAATTATTTTTATTATCCATTCAGTTATTTAAATAATTTTTCTTGGTTGGTAATTCAGATATTAAAAATTCACCATCACAAATTTACTCTAATTTGCTCTAATTATTCCACTATTTAAGAACCTCATTGGTATGTACATGAGGCAAAACTATCCTGAGCTGAGTCAAAAAATCAAGAGATGTGGTTTCTTTTGCTACCTTAGCTTCTAAATAACTCTGAATCTCTGAGGAAATTAACTGCTCTCATAATTATTTAGTTTCCAAACATTTTCAAAAGCCAAACATTCTATGAAGTGGTGGTAAGTTTAAAGGAAGTAATGTTTATGACTGTACTTGACAAAAAAGTTCCATATAAATGTAAACTAGTACAGTACCTTTTTTTTACTTAGTTCTGGAAAATGCCTAAGCTACTAGAACTACACAGATTTCTTGCATTTCTCTCCTTCCTTTCTTTTTTTCTTGGTTTCCTTCCTAATCATAGGAAAATGATTCAATACACTCATCAGTATTTACCTGAGCACCTTTCAGGGTTAAATTTCTAGCATATAAAAGTCTTACTTTCTTACATATTTTAACTCTGGACATTTTATTTGTTCTGCATTGATTATGGTACTGTAACTACAGACCAAAAAAAAAAAATTGTGTGTGATTGTTATTTGCATTGTGCTTCTAATGATTTTGAAGTACTTTAATTTATTTATCCAATAATTTTGTGTAAGTGGGGAAATTATAAAGCAAAACCAATACTTGCCTTTATAATTTGATGGCAAAGGTATTTGTTGAACATGCTACAAAAGCATCATTAAACTGAGGCACAGATAAACTAGGTCTCTGAAATTATTGCATCTTAGTAGTGAGACAGGTTAATTGGTTTATATTTGAATCAACATAAAATGAATGATGGCAATAATAACAATAATTTACATTAACTTTTGACCCCAAACAAAAGGCCGGTCCAAGCTTCAAAGCAATATAGAAATAAATCCAAACCTATATTGGGCTACTAATTTATTTAGTGGCCATTATTTATTAAACCTTTTATTATGAGTTTCAAGTAGTTCATGGTGTTTCAGAGAAGAGCTTATTAACCAACAAGCTGTATAATTTCAGTTTGTATTATATATATTAATTTTATATTCAGTTTGTATTGTCCAAATGTCAGTCCCTTAGTACTCACATATTGTCATTTCACAAACATAGAAAGAGGCCCTCCCCAGTGGCGCAACAGGTTAAAGTGCATCACTGTGAGGCTTGCCTCAGACACAGCAGCATGAGTTTGATCCTCAGCCAGGGAGGTGACCCACATGGCGTGGCAGACCTCTCCTGTCTGCTTACTGCTCCCCTCAGCAGTATACTTCATGAATCTGCCTGTTCTGCTCCCTACTCTGTCTTTGGTGAATCCTCTCGCCATCCTAGCACCTCTAGCCTGTATCCCAGGCCAGATGTATTTGTTACATAAAACAACAAAACTTAAAAAAAAGAAAGAAAGAAAATTCAAACTAGGGGCTCTGAAAAGGAAAACAAATGTACTTCCTAATACATTAAATAGCAGTAACTGCTAAAATCCAACAACTTTTATTTCTCTCAAAATGAAGGATCTGCCTTGAAATAGAATCCAAAATTCTTGGGCATTACAATCATTGGTTTCAACTTTGATTTAGATACGTTGTTTTTGGAAACCACATAAAGTGGTAACTTCAAGGAAAACATGAAGACACAGATGCCCTCTTTACTTTGTACCCCAGTGACAAAGATCAGGACTGACCTGTAACGGGCCTTTTATATAAGTATTGGCCACATTCAGGAGAAAAGAGGAGCTGAGAGTCCTGAAGTTATTTTACTCTGAAGAAATATTTAGAATTAGATTTACCTCATAACAGAATCTGAGCTTCCCTCAGAAAGGGCTTGAGAGTGTAGAGGTGGGTAAACAAGGGAAGATAGCCTGCTTATTTCTGTTCAGTGATGATGGCCAAAACACAGTGGAAAGAGAGGATACCAGTTTTGATTTCCTTTCGGATGTATTGCGACGACGTCTCTGCCCCTCTGCACTCACATCAGACCCACCCCTCAATCATGCTCCTCTAAATTAAATCATGTTTCTCTAAATTAATCTAGGACATTCCAGAGAGAGTCTGAACTAAAAGTACATGCTGGGCCACCTCGGTGGCACAAGGGGTTAATGCACAGCACTATGAAGCTATCCATAGCCACTACAGGACAAGTTTGTTCCCCAGCTGGGAAAATGACCCACATGGCATGACAGACCTCTCCAGACCTGCTCACTGCTCCCCTCAGCAGTGTATGTGAGCCAACCCGCCTGTTCTGCTCCCCACTCTGTCTCTGTGAGTCCTCTAACCCCCTGTGCCACTGGCTTATACCTCAGTCCTTACATGCATAAATAAATAAATCTTAAAAAATAAATAGATCTTTCAAAATAAGCAAATAAAAGTATATGCTGTGAAACTTCAGCAGAGGCCTTGGGGACTACTCCTCCCCTGACTCCCTGTCCCAGCAGTATGACTGAAAATTGACCTCATGTGCTGGGAATGGACTATTAGAGGCAAGAACCAAGTACCCTCTGCTGTTTTCTGGGAAGAGTACATTCCTGGTGGTGTGTGCTCTCTTCAGGGGGCCTGGCTCCCAGAGTTGTCCACATCGCTAACCCTAAAGTCAGTCTCTCTGTATGTCATTCCGTCTCTCTCTCCACCACCCTCCTCCCCCAACCCCCCCCCCTCATCTCTGGCCTCATCCCTCCACAGCCTTGTGCCTACTCACATCAGATCCTGGTGTGCCCGGCTTGCCTGGAGCTCCTGGCTTTCCTGGTTCCCCTGGAGGACCCTGAGCAAGTAAAGTGTGAAGCAGGGAAAGAAAATGAGCAAAGTTGAAACCCTTAGGGCCACATGACAGCCAAACACTTCTAAATGAAGGAAGTGCACAGTGAGCAAACTGATTAGCTTACCGGGGGACCTGGGGGACCCTTTGGACCTCGGTCACCCTGGATGGGTAAGGAAAAAAAGCAAAATCAGTCCATGAGCCAAAGGTACTAGGGACCCGGCTGAGAAAATCCCACTCATGGGCATGTTCATCACACAGATAGGGTTAGGGTAAGTGCCTTAGGGGGGAGGTTCATCATCAATGGAAACATTAAGACAGGTTTATCTCCCTATTTGCCAGGCTTCAAGGATCCAGCACCCAGTTCTCACCCACTGCCAATACCACCTTTGGGTGGGGGACATCTGGCCCTCTCTAAATACACAAACACCAGAGCTGTGATAGAGTAGAAAGAGACAGGACTGAAGGAACAAAGTAACCTGGAGATAGATACTTACGTCAATACCATCGATGCCTGGAACTCCAGGAGGACCAGGGGGCCCAGGAGGACCCTGCTCACCCGGAGGGCCTCTCTGACAAGAATAGGACACTGGGTTAGTGGAGCAAGGTAGAGAACAAAGAGAAACTGGGCCCAGTTCCAGAGCTTTCTCCCACTTACCTCCCTTACCCTAAAAGTTATCTCCCTATCTCCCTATCGATGTCAAGTTTTTGAAAAGCAAACTTTCAAATTCCTTGGTCTGAGTCATATTCTAAACAAGACTAAACACTGGGGCTGAGTAGGTTCTACACCCCCAAAGTAGGGAGAGGAGTCACAAGGTTTCACCTCTACAGAGTATATTAAACCACAGGAGAATTGTGAAGAAGGCAGGGCCTCTTTTAAAGGAATTCAATAGTGAAAATAGTGGTCACTCGATTCTTACATCTAATCAGCAATTGCAGGGCAGTGTTGAGGTCAAAATGGAACAGCTAAGAATGGAAATGCTCCACAGCAGATCAATTACAGGACAGCTTTGGTCAGTCTGTCTATGTCCACTCCAAACCTGGCATAAGCTTGATGGAAAGATTTAGGCGCGAGTGGGGTCAGTAGCTCCTCAAAGCCCAGTGAGCACCTGGCCTCCATTCCTATTTACCTGCAGTGACTCTCCCTTGCATGAGGTATTTTCACCTGGCTTCAAAACTACACCAAATTTCAGAGTGACCCTAGAGTGTGATCCATTTTATCACTTGTGAACAGTTAAGCTTTGATGATGCTAGCAGGAATGCTGGCGTCTGGAAAAGGATAAAATGTTGCTAAGGGAATGTGAGGGGTTCTTTTCTCCCTTCTAAATTAAAAAAAAAAAAAAGTAAAGAAAAGAAAAGAAAGAAAGCTTCTTTCATCAAGAACAACCTTGTTTTTTTCTCCACTTCAGGGACCAGACAGGTTACAATAGGGTCTTTGTAAGTGAAACCTCAAACCGCCTGGGGCTCACCCGCCCCTCCAAGTCCTCCCAGGCAAAGGAGGGAGAAGACACCAGAGCCATTGGGAAGTTGCTGAAATTTTGAAGTGAGCCAGAGCCTCGCGGTCCAAACCCCCAGCCACTGGCACCACACGCTGGCAGAACTCAGAGTTCAGCAAGGCCACCGCAGGCTGGAGGAGCTCGAGAGTGCGTTTTTAGTGCCGTTTGCCATTTTCCCCCGCCTGCTCCTGCAAGGCCCGCTTTAGACGCGCACCAAAGAGCCTTTGGGGAGGTAAGAACCAGACTAAAAATTTAAACCAAGTTACAGACAGCCATCAGCGCCTGAAACTGCAGTGTTAGGACCCAAGTAGGAGGGAAGATGCCCTGCCCAGGCGTCATCTCGGGCCCCAGACTCTGACCGCACCCACCAGGGCAGGTGCAGAAGGATGGAGGAACGTTGCACATGGGGCCCCTTCCCCTCTGCTTCCTGCTTCCAGAAGGCTGGCCCCCCTGCATGCTCTTGAAAGATGCAAGCACTTTCTTTCCTCCCAACTTACCTCCTCGGTAGTCTGGCTGGGCTGGAGAAGAAAAGATGGGGGGAAAGTTAGAAGGTGCCCTGTACCCTATCCCCCAAACTAGCCATAACTTACTTGAGCAGCGCACAAGCAAAGCCCTGACAGTAGCAGCCGCAACCCTAGGGCTCTGAGGTCCCACACGGTCCAGGCCATATCAGCTGCCCTCTGCTAATTCCCTGGCAGGACACAGTCTCTTGCTGCTCCAGAAGGCTTCCAGAACTGCCACCCACAAAAAGAGCCCCCGGGAGTTGTAATTGTAAAACCAATGGGGCTAGGGAAGTATTAAGTTCCTCCTATTTATGGATGGTTCTGGAGAGGGTCCTGGGGATTGGAGGAGAGCTTGCGGGGGCTGGGAGCTCGGATAGAATGACAACAGTCCCCCTTAACCCTTTCCCTGCAGCTGCACAGGCAAAGTCTGAATGTGTGGCTTTGCCTCCACCACCCCAGTTCCAGCATAGCCTCTGGCTGTGCCCTGGGTGGCCTCAGGTAACCGGGTGCTACAGAGAGCAGCGGGGAGTGGACCCCCACCCTATATTCTGGAGTGATGTTTATCAGAAGAGAAGGTAGGCTCTAGGCCCTTAAAGGTTGATTGAGGTCAACCTATTCCTTATGCTTGGAGCCTGGACTGTTTAGAGATATGGGGAGGTAAGAGTTGGGGGAGGGGCAGCGGTGGAAAAGAAGAAGTTAAGCTGGGTGGCAGTGGCTGTTGCAGGTGATCAAGGGACTCACCGTTATCCTGGCTGGCAGCTCATGGCAAGTTTCTCTTCTGGGTCGCAGTGGGTCACAATGGATCAGCATCCATTGAAGTTCAAACTTGAGAAAAACAAGGGCATATTCAGGTTCTTTTAAAGGACAAGAAATAGGTCTTTTAAGAGAGAGATGAGTCTATGACTGTAGTCTAATTGTTAAGTGACTGGAGACCAACTTGAATTGGCTGATCTCAGGAAGCCTAACTTTCGTTCCTTGAAAACATATTTCCAATGGAAATTGACTGGCATCCTTCCCAGTTTCTCTTCATCTTTGCATGTAGGTGTCTGTAGCTCTGCATTTCTCCAGCATAGTCCTTGGCACTACACAGACCACTGGCACTGACTTTTATTTCTGTCCTTACCACAACCTCAAGAGGTAGATTCTATTAAAATGAGGTGCAGAGAGAACAAAGAACTGTATAAATCACAACCCGATAAGTGTCAAAGTCTGGAGTAGAATTTAGGCCTATTGGGTAAGCCTGTTCTCCCCAAACAGATGCACTGCATTTATGCAGTTAAAAATAGAGACAAATGGGCCCTCCCTGGTGGCGCAGTGAGTTAAAGCACAGCACTAAGAACCTAAAGCCACTTCCTCAAGAGTTGGATCCCTGCCTGCCCCCCCCCCCAGGTGACCACATGGTGCGGCAGACCTCTCCTGACCTGCCCGCTCCCCTAAACAGTGTACTTTGTTGATCTGCCTGTTCTGCTCCCTTCTCTGTCTCTGGTGAATCCTTTCACTGCCCCTGCACCTCTGGCCTGTACCCCAGTTCTGTATGCACAAATAAATAAAATCTTTTTAAAAAAATAAATTAAAAAAAATAGAGACAAATGCAGTCAAAAGGTGGCATACAGGGAGAAAGTAGGTGAATGAAAATCTGGCTCTAGAAGAAATTTGCAAGCTAGAGAGGACACACTCTTTGGAGAGGACATGACTTAAAATGGTTAGGACAGACTAGAAGTAGAGAGTATGAAAGGGAAATCTAGGACTTAGGAAAGAAAACAAATAATAAAAGATATTTAACTGTGCTCATAGGCTGAAGATACATTTACATTTTCTCAACGCTTGAAATTCAAATGAATTCTCTCAACTTATATTTTAGCAGGTGCTAAGAGAAAAAAGAAGAGGGAAACTGGGAAGAAATAAAGCAAGGGAAGAATTGCCAAATCTAAATCTAAAATCCTCAGGCAACAGGTAAAAAAAAGAAATTATGTACCACACAAGAAACCTGCCACCCTGCACCATGCCAACCCATTAAGCTGAGGAAGTTCCTTGCTAGGCATTTCGAATAAACCTTTTGGTCAAGTGATCCTCCTAGCATTATGTATATATCTACCTAAGTAGCCAAGTCCCCAATATTATCTTTTCTCTTATCCAATAGTGATTTGTACTGCATCACCCCAGCCAAATGGAGGTTAGAGCTGATGGAGCTCAAGTTAAGTTAAATATGTTTTTCTAATGTTAGGGAAACAATCAGAGTTAAGGGAGATCAGAATTGGAGAAAGGATGAAGTACTTCTTTTGTACCCATAAAGAAAGTTAGTCCATTTATTTCTTTTCCCCAGAAAACAAAGTCATCTGAGAAAGTTAAATGGGATGAAAAGAAAGTAAGCAGCTAAATCAAGACATTTTAAGAGGGAAAGTTATCTGTAAATTGTGTGAAAATTGTGCTGACCTGTATACTCATGATGTGAGTTATTCAATAGTAAACTGACCTTTTATTAAAAAAAAAAAAAACTGCCTACCAAACCATACATTGTTTTCAGTTAAAGAATAACCATAATCAAACAGTTTGTTGGTATTAAAGAAGTCTTGTTGGCGTAAGAAGGATTTTAATGCATTTTGTTCTAAACTACAGTAGAAATTTGAAAAGGAAGACAAAAAAGGAATGGAACAATTTTTCCTTAATGACACCAAATACCTGACTATACTTCAAACAACTCTTTGAAGTTCATAAATGGGTAAGTAAAGTAGAGATGTTAAGCCATAGATCATAGGTCACATAGTTAGTACAAGGCAGAGCTGGCATTCCAAATGTGCCCAACTCTAAAATAAGGTTAGAGAGTTTCTATCACCCTATTGAGACCCCCCCCCCAACTGTTTGATGCTTAAATGGGAGGTTCTGTACTTCCAAAATACATACATTGATGTAAACCAGCATTACCTAAAATAAGTATACATCCTATTTGAAGACCATAAATTGCTTTTTCAACATCTGCTAGAAAACACCAGAACTAGACTAAGAAATGTTCATAAAAATTTTAATCATTCCCTATTTACATGCTTGTTACGGAAACAAATCCAGAAGCAAAATACTAATATTTACTCCAAAATCTGAGAACGATTTCCATGTGAATTTTATATTCATGTGCATAATAAAATAATAAATAGGAATGAGAACTATAATTCTTTTTTCTTCAATGAGCAGGTAAAAATTTTATCTGAGTAAGAAAAGATGTCTCTCCTTCCAAACTATCAAAATAAAAGGGAACACTCATATAATTTGTTCATTGAGTCCCTTGTGAATTGATAACTCAAAGTGGACATGCATTGTATGTGTCTGATATTTTGATTCTCAAAAATAATTCAAACTAATCACCTTGAGAAATTTTATTGGCCTAGACAGGACACCTATATTCTTCATGCAGATAGTTCATTAAAGTTACTTATTGCAAATGCAAAGTAAATTTTTAGGTTGTTTTTTTCAAAAATGTAATTCTTTCTGGAAAACTGGTACACCTGTTTATATATGCAGGATGAAATTGTGGCATAGGATAATGGGGGAGTGAAATGTGATTCATCTGTGAATACAGACTGGGTTGTTTAGATCGACACATAGATCAGAGGTTTCTGAACACATCTGTGCATCCGCATAAACACCACCTACACACTAATAATCATCTATACAACCATTTGGCAAGAAATATGAATTCCAATTTGCATGTTAATTATTTTGAAGCAAGATTGGCAGAGTCCCTCAGTAAAAGTCATTTTCATTATACATTGAAAATGCTGATTTCCACACATTTCTCATTTTCATACATGGAATCATCTTCCTCTTTGAATACCACTGATAAAATGTATGTAGCAAATATTTCTATCTAGTCCTTCAGTGAGTGAGCATTTTTAAAGCCGCAATATGAGCTAAAAACTAAAGGAACATTCTAAAGAAACCAAATATCTCCTCCCCCCAGAATGAGTTTATGTTTTGAAAGACTTTAGAACAATACAAGAGCTAAATAAAAAAAATTAAAAGTTAATCCATTAAACTGAATATGAATGCCCTAGCACAATTAACTCTTCTCAACATAAAATATATCTCCATTGTCTCAAGAAAAACTTGTTTTTGTGAGTAAGGTACAAGTTTGGCATTATCCAGTTCTTTTTTTCTAGAGCATTAAGCTAGAGTAGTTGTTAGCTCACAATATATTAAAACAAGGAATTATAACCCAACTCTATACTTAATAGAGCTAGTGATTTTTACTTATTTTGCTAAGGTATTGAGAAAAATAACATCAATGTAAGTCCCACATAAGAACTAAACAAAAAATAATAGCAAATAACTATTTTATCCTACTAAGAAAGAATTCTAATGAAAAACCATGGAAGTTGGCTCAGTATGAATAAGAATGGCACAAGGTTTCATTTTTACAAGCTAAATTATGATTATACTTTACAAGTATAAAATGTCTAAGAGCTAGTTTGTCAGAGATAAATGTTTAGCAGGAGAGATGGCAATAAAGATTTAAAGAAAGTTAAATTCACAGATCTTATGCTTCTTTTTACTTTATGATGAAATGTCGGTTCCTACCATCATAAGGGACCTTCTATAATGAAACTCCTCAAAGTCAAAAATTTCCCCACTATATAGAAACGAGGCAATGCAAATCTAGGCATTGTGTTTGGAATGTAGCCCAGTCTGAGTAGGTGACACCCATTGGAATCATAGCAAAAATAGAAGTAAAATTCTAACAGGAGTGCAGGAGACTTAGAACCTAAGATCTTTCATATAATCATTTACTCATTTTTATAATTCAGCATATCTTTACATAACACATCCATGTGCCACAAGGTAGATATAGTCTTAGCTAAGATCATTAACTCTGGGATGATATACCATGTAGCATGTGAGTGGGGTCTTGCAGAACAATTGAGATTTTCATAAGTAAAGAAGAGAGGGCAAAATTATGAGTCCCAAAGAGAAGAGGTAACAAGTCACCAGTGTGGGAAATAATGTATAGAGAAAAGACCAGGCTTGCTTTGGCAAAGAGTGGACATCAGATTTACCCCTGACCTGGGTCCTGATCCTAAGGAATTGGAATAGTACTGGTTAGATAACTACTGAATTGTCATCAAAAATTTTTCCTCAACAGGGGTGGAGTGAGGAGAGGTGACCTAATACAAAA